AGGGGCCATCGAAGCATTTGTTCATGTATCAGGGAAACTGGACAAAAACGTGATTGAGATTGGGGGTCATTGACCCGGAAGCTAAAGTACATTATTTGTTACAAGCACTTTAAATCTTTTTAAAAATAATCAATAGTAAATGCAAACGTAAATGTAGCTTAACTATGCGCACGTTTTGTTGTATCTCCTTTTCCTTGTAGTGATAGAAGTAGAGGTAGGGCTGAGTTACCATTTTGTTAGGTGTTTACCGATGCATATACGTTTTCTATAACTCGGGAACGAAAATGTGTAGTTTTTCAGATGTTGCTACACTCACGCTTTTTTACATTTTATTTTTATTTATTAATTTATCTTTAAATTTTACTCGTCTTTCAACTATTTATAGTTAAAATGATGCGAAGGGATTCTGGAACTCAAGAAAACTTAGGCAGATGATCTTTCCCGGTGCGATTATGCCAGACAGCATTAAATGACAAACGAATACATACATAATTGCGGTTTCGCTACATTTCTCTTGTTTGTGAGATATGAGCATGTAAATTTAATTTATTTTGATGTTTTTTTCCCGTTTGCAAAACAAAATTTGGGACAGATGCTTAGTTTGTATTAATACTTTCGCATTTGTGTTAATATATCGAAATCAAGTTTTTGCGCTTGGTCAATTGATGAATAATCCCGTCAAATTGTCAAATTTGTGTTGATATTTGCTTGAAAATATTTAGGTTTCGCAGCACATTTTAGGATTTTTAATGAGTTTAACAAAAAATGACTGAGATGTGTTAATTCAAAAAGAAATCCTCATATAAATACTACGTTGCGTAACCATTACTAGTGTGCGAAGGCACGTGCTGTTGTAGCACCTCTAGTTCAGCACAGAAATTACAATGTTTCAGTAGTACGTAACTCTAGCCAATAATACGAGAAAGTATGTGCTGTTGTAGCGCACCACTAGTTTTATACAAAAATTCTACAATCTCTTGTGTACAAAATTATGTTTGTTTAATACGTGTAACATTTCAGTAAGATTTTAAAAAGCAATTTTAAACATTTCGTGTCAAGCGCCCTTTAAATATCAAATTTTGTACCATTTTAGTTGTTGTGCCAAAAATATTTCGAAGGAATAATATTTGTTACAACCGTTGTTAGCTTTGCTAGTGTCTGGCGCCAGAAGTACGTTGCAATGCTGTTGTTTGTTCTTTGTTAACATTTTATTATCCATGTGTTGATGATTGATTAGGGCTTTTGCATTGTCACTGCCACATTTTAAAGTGAAATTCCCGTAAGTTACATTTCATCATACAAATCTTTTTATAGAAAAAACACTATGAAAGACACAAAGCTGATATTTTGTTTAGGTTCATGACACCATTTACAATAAAGTAAATTACATTAAATGTCCGAATTCAGAACACACAGAGACATGGTTAAACTTTTTCAATGACCTTTTTTTTATTTTCCCCACAACCAATGATTGTAAATTATGTCTTAGTAGTCTAATATTTAGATAATTATGTGATCTAAAAAAATCCAACATGATTTATCTACTTGATAGAGTTTCAGATAACATTAAGTTCGTTCGAGAGCAAAATAAAACACAAAATATCATAATGAACTAAGATATTAATAACAAAACATACAATAAAGATATAAAATATACTTTCGACGAAGTATTTTATATCAGAAACACTTTTTTCAAGTATTTTGCCCAACTCTGCCTGCAAGTTTCTGTTTTCCTGCTAGATGGTTAAAGGAGCATAGCGAAGTGTACGTGGTCAGACGTTAAAGAAAGCTAGATGTTCTGAGTCTCGCCACGTAAAATAAGACGGTCATAGAACTGATGTGTGCAGATGACCCACCGATGTGGCACAAGCAGCGGCCACAACTGCAGAGCGCAACCCGCAGCACCAACAGTGTGTTAGGATACACACAGGAGCGAAATAATGCTTGTGTAAGTGCTGAGACATCTTGATGCGAAGACGAAATATCCACGTGAAGTCCTGAAAAATCTTAACAGCACATCTGAAAAATTATTTAAAATACATGAATTAATATAAAATTCGTTATCTGATACATCGTTTGTTTTTTTCTTGTGATGCCAAACTAAATTGTCCCACTACACATAGAGCAGTTATAAACTTCATATTGTGGCTTTTTTACTCGTTTTCAAAAGCAGTATGTAAAGTATATTATACTTTAATTCAATCTTATTTCAATTTAAATTAAACATAAAATTCAAACAACTGTTTAAAACGTTTATAATACATTCTAAGTTATAGGTAACACGTTAATTATGAAAGGTACACTACGTAAATTATGGTCTTTTGCAATTGGCCACGTATCAACAAAATATAAAAAAATATATTGTTATATTTATTTAAATCTTTTAAAAAATCTTTTAAAAAATCTTTTAAAAAGATTGTAAAAGTATGATTAAAAAAATTTACAAAAAGTCTCCCTTATGTTATGAATACTTATTTCCTTGTACGGAATGTTAGTAACGTTTTAACGAATATCATTTAATTTCAGTTATTACATTAAGGTACGATTGATAGTAGAATTTGCTGTTATAGGCCTAAACTATCACCATACCAATATGTGTAAAGATCTTGAAAACAATAAAACATGTATATTCATGGGTACGCTGTATTTTCTGCCGCAACATTTCTACATCTGTTTCTTCTGTGCGATGTAGTCACACAGGCTTAGTTGTCGCGTATTTTATAATGTTTGGTCTTTCATGCTCGAACGTAACATTCTTTTTGTAACTCTGCCACCTAAACGGTCAATAAATGTACGATGCTTGCATGTATTGCACCAAAACTTAATTTTTCACGTCACTAAAAACATCTGCACTATGGACCGAAAATAATCAAAAGTATATGACTGGAAGTTGATATTTCCTTTCTCGCGAAAGTTCATACAGTGCGCTCGTCCATTAGCAAGGAGAGACAACAACACTGTCTGTCGAGAACACTACCTGTGATGAGACCTAGCTGTCAAACTCAAAGAATGGTACAAATCAGTTCCGATGAAACGTGTAAATTTTAGGTGGGTAGTACCGTGTGTGGTAGGTCATGTAATTTTTTTATTGTATTTATTTTTTTAAATAAACATGATAGCGCTATAAAATATGTAGTTTATTCAATATTTTTGAACATATAATAATTTATATAAACACATTAATAATTGATTTCTCTTTATATATTTTGTTACTTGCCAGCGACAGAAGGGATTACTTGTATATTCGCTTTTAAATTTTTCGGATTTTTATTAGCAGTTTCCGAGGTGGAGTCCGATGTACTCGTAAGCTGCAGCGCGCTTGACTGAAAGAATCTTCGGTTTTGTCGTTCCCTCGTTTGCCTCGGAACCCACAAACAAGGAACCGGTTCTTTTGGATACGATGGGACACAGCCAACTCGACAAAAACAACCGCGCATCGCGCGCCAAGTTTGAATACTCAGTAATTTTTTTCAGGTCGAATTCGAAAATAATGTTCTCCACAAGTTTGATGGTGGTAATACATATGTGAAATTGGATTTTTTTCAAATTTTGCCAATATTTCAGGTGGCCACCCACCTGGAATATTTGCGCGTGGGTAGTACCACTAACCGTACCCACCATGGCAATGGGATATAGTATAGATTTTGTGAAATGTTTATTTTGTTCATATTGTTATTTTGTTAGTATGTTATATTTTGTACACTTGGAATATGTTAATGAAACTATCACGAAGGTGCGGAGAAGCGTAAATTACTTATAGTAAAAACGAAAATAGCACGACTGGAAAAGGTCGTTCAACAAAGTATCTAAAGCAGTGTAAACAAAAGTGAATATTGATATTGATTTGCTGTGTGATAGTCTTTTACGAAAAAAAAAAAACGGATTCAGTCGTAGAGAAGTGATGTTGAACGCGTAAAATGAATGTTCAATGAAAATTTACTATGTAAGTTAAAAAATTTAGGCTTCTTTTTATGACACTTACACCATATTTATCGCAATATTCAATTATTTCACAAAATTAAGCATATTATTTATTTCAAACTAAAAACTATAAGAGGTCGATTTGTGTAATTAAAATATAGTGTACATTTTGTACGAAATAAATAAAGGTTGAGAAAAAATAAGTGCCTTTAAACATTCTTAGATAAGAACCAGAAATGCTAGACTTTCTTACTACTGAAGATAAAATACCATTAGAGATATTAAGAGTCGTGTTCATTTGAAATGAGAGGCAATATTAAAAGGATATGTTTTATGAAAAGTTTGTGCCTAGCACTTTGTCTTTCTATTGCATGATTGCACAAACAGCGGCTGTAACGAAAGCTTACCCAATCTTGATATATGGTGTGAGATTAATTTTGTATAATGGATATCCAACAATAGTCAAAAACCAATAGCATGTGTCATCTAAAATTTAGTAATTTATAAAAAAGTTTGGTAAATAATCACTACCCGATATCATGTTTCTCTCTTGGAGAAATTCCAAGTTGAATATTGAAACCATTTCCTTGGATACAACACATTGTTGGGGTTCTGTCAAAGATGTAACGTGGCTTTGTTGTAATTACTCGTTCAGGTAAAAAATTATGATTCATTGAGTAAGTTCTTTTGGTGTCCTTTGACACTCCTAGTAGGTGAAAGTTTGTAAATGTAATTCTCTCAAGTTTTGTTTTATTTTTATTTTCGAATGGATTTTTCTGAAAATGTCATCAAGCATAATAATGAAGGAAAATATTCTGGATAACACAGTTTAACTTTCTTATATTTTCTGCCTTACAAATTACTCATTTATACATCACAATGGTTTGGGAACATTCCTAATCCTCAATACAAAGCCATGAGCAAAAAGTAGTTGACCACAGTGCAAGTCAGATCGCGCATTGGCTGACGTGCTGATGGTCTTCCATAGCGGCACTATCGCCTTGTGCAGCTATAAATCCGCAAATAGAGTCGATAGTCACAGTACAACCATAGTCCAATAAAACACGCGCACTGGCCGACGTGCTGACGGTCTTCTTACATGGGCACTATCGCAACGCGCATCTATGAATACGCAAGTAGAATTGATAGTCACTGTGCATCCTTGGTCCCAGTGCACTACGCGCACTGGCCGACGTCCTGACGGTCTTCTTACATGGGCACTATCGCAACGCGCAGCTGTGAATACGCAAATAGGGTCTTCTTACATGGGCACTATCGCAACGCGCAGCAATGAATACGCACGTAGAGTTGATAGTCACAGTGCATCCTTGGTCCCAGTGCAACACGCGCACTGGCCGACGTGCTGACGGTCTTCTTACATGGGCACTATCGCAACGCGCAGCTATGAATACACAAGTAGAGTCGATAATCACTGTGCATCCTTGGTCCCAGTGCAACATGCGCACTGGCCGACGTGCTGACGGTGTTCCCACAGGGGCACAATCTCCATTCGACGCTCTTGATTATTAGGTACAGCTCGTCGCAGTGATTCTTTCCTCGCCTCTCCATACCCCGTGTCGTCGTTCCACATGGTGAAGGCGCTTTTTCGAGAGTCGAATCTATGGAGTCGACTCTTTTCCGCGGGGCGTGGGGGATCTGGTTCTTCGCCGGCGGATGGGGCCGTCGGATTGCTGAACGTCACTTGTCTGTTGAGGAGCTGTTGGGGCTCGCTGACCCGTGTCCTTAGCGCGTTCGTCGCTGCTATTAACAGGGCTGCCAACACTGCAACACCAGATTTGTTTGCTACAGTTTTGTTACATAGAAAACGATATATATTGTGTATGAAAAGAAGCAATATGGTAAAGGGCTGGGATTCAAACAACCATAACCAGTAGACAGGAAAATAAAGCTTTTCAATTGTATGGAAATGTCTAGAAGATTCAGAATGAGAGATGACCAAAACAATTTATAATTGTGTACCTGAAGAACGTCGAAGAGAGGTAGACCTGTTGTGAACTGGATGATCTATCTACAGTACGTAATGGAGGAGAAAGGATTAGAAGATCAATGAGAAGACCAAAAAAATGGTAATCGAAAATGGCGAACTCTTAATTGTTTGTAGAAAGTGCCATTAAAATCGAAGAAATTTGAGAAAAATGCATTAATAATAACGGAAAAGGTAAAAAATAACTTATTAGTAGAAATCAATGAAAAATGCAAAAAATGACATAAAAATGAGTCATTTCGTTTAATCTTAACATTAAATGAATTTCTGTACTAAACAGCATTGCTCGAAAGTGAACACAAAAAAATGAAATTTCATTAAAATTCGTCCCCTATTGATCCCTCTTTTCCGAAGTACATATGGTAGAAATACTCATGTAATTATTTAAATATGTCCAAATTCGAAGTGGCTACTCTTTGAGTCAATTTATCATGAATTTTAGTTTGGCAGGTGCACTAACTTTCAGAGTGCGGCCTGCCTCCTGTTGGAGTTAGCGTACCTCCCAGCATTGCAGGAAGCAGCACTCAGGAGTTCGATGTTAAAAAACTTGATTGATCACCGATTCTGAAAGCGACAAGAGCTAATCTCAGAGCTTAGTTCCGTAAGTGTAGTTCATGATACATCGCTGGATGTGGCGGCGATCTTCCCCCGCTGAATGTCGAGATCTATACCCCACCTACGGCGGCGAGCGGGGAATTTCCCCAACCGGGTATTTCCCACTAGTAGACGCAGTCTCAGACGGTACACACTCCCGATCTGCCTGTGGGCATGTGTGATAGTGCAGTACGTGTGTGTGTGTGTAAGTAAGAGGTGAGGAAGGAACTATCGCGCGCGGTCCGTGGCTCGTTTGTCAGGGTGCTGCTCCGGCATTCGCCTGGTGTTGATCGGAGAAACATTGAAGAACTACCGACCAGGACAACCGGTCGCAAGAATGCTTCACCAGACATCGACTGAATTCAACCTAGCTGACAAACGAGTGTGGAAAATCCAGCCACCGTCGGGGGGGGTGTAATCCTAGGACCGCCCTCTCAGCGTCATCGCAGTTACACTCTTCGCTGCCCTGAGCCACCGCATCCGATAGGGTGGGGGTGAGGGGTGTGTCTAGAGCCCTCTAACTCCCATATAACGCGGTGGAAACCATTGCGGTGACGCGCTCTGCTGCAGCACCTTCTTACAGGAACTAAAACACGATCTGCTGCCAAAAATACTTTAAACGTTCTTGACTGCTGCGTAAGTTCGCGGATCGCAAGAAGGCCCATAATGTTACAAACGATAACGTCTATGTTCTCTGAGAGCGTAGGCTTCCGCAGCCGAAGTCAGTATTTACTAGGCTGTCCGAGTACCCGCGTCCATGGCGAAGGTGCCGACGTTTCGGTCGCCATTCTGCGACCTTCTTCAGGGCGTAATGCATTACGCCATTCTGCGACCTTCTTCAGGACGTAATGCATTACGCCATTCTGCGACCTTCTTCAGGCCGTAATGCATTACGCCATTCTGCGACCTTCTTCAGGGCGAAATGCATTACGCCATTCTGCGACCTTCTTCAGGGCGAAATGCATTACGTCATTCTGCGACCTTCTTCAGGGCGAAATGCATTACGCCCTGAGGAAGGTCGCAGAATGGCGACCGAAACGTCGGCACCTTCGCCATGGACGCGGCGTCACCCGGACAGCCTAGACTAGCCTAGAGGTTTCTTGTAAGTATAGATTATGAATAATTTTTAGAAGACTCTTTTCATATTTCTCACGAATTATCCAATTTGCGTGTGGGGAATGTTGGCGAACGTAACCGGAAGCTGCACCCGGCGACACTAGCACCTCCTATAGTAGCACCCTCGAGCTTTGTCCCCGGTTTTCATGGGGAGTTGCAGGGCCGTGGGTGTGCGTGTGTGTCACTCTCACCGAAACGGTAAGCGACGTGGCTGACCAGCAGCCCGCCGAACAGCCGGGCTCCTCCCGGGCCCCGCAGCGCATGCGCGGCCAGCGCCAATCCCAGCGTCAGCGCCTGCGCCTGCGCAGAGCCCCACGCCAGCAGCCACGCCCACAGAGCGCGTGCGCTCGGCTCCGCCTGCGCCACAGATGCGGGGGTGTTAACAACACGGACACTTCTTTAACAAGCTTTGTACAAGCTTAAATATGGTAAATTAAAGGTGTTGTCTGGTGTCAAAAAATCAGGCAACACCTTTAATTTAATAATAATAATAATAATAATAATAATAATAATAATAATAATAATAATAATAATAATAATAATAATAATACCTTTATGAATGGCGAGGCTCAGGCCATAGGGCCTGCTCTTCCGCCTATCCACTGAATTTACATACATTTAGAGTAGTAACATTTTAAGAGGGGAGGACAAGCTGTACATTTACGTATTAATTATTAGAAGGTATCTACCTCACCAGGGAGCTAACTAATTTGTAGACCTTCTATTGATAACTGGTGATTCCGGGTCCGCCAACTGCTAAGGTCATTAGTTCCGTAAGTGTAATGCTTGTTTTTGCTCGAGAGTGGGCGGTGGTCCTTCGTTGGATGGTGAGATCCAGTACCCGCTTACCCGTCGTTTAGCAAGGTTTTCCCCATCTAGGTATCTCCCACTTGCGTGGCTCTGCCCTAGACGGGACAAGCTCTAACCTCCCCACTGGTCCCTCGGCATGTGTGCTAGTGTAGTGTATGTTAGTACAAGGAGTGAGGATGCGAAAGGAATGGGAAGGAAAGATTGCGCGCGGACTGTGGTCCGTTTGTTAGGGTACTGCTCCGGCATTCGCCTGGCATTGCTCGAAAAAAACGTGGAAAACTACCCTTGAGAACGGCCCGCCGCCTGAATTCTTCTCGAGACAAGTGACTGAAATCCACCTGACTAAATTGCTCCCATCGAAAAACCGCCACCGTCGGGACTCGAACCTAAGACGCCCCCCCCCGATCTGTGCAGAGACAATGGCTCTGTGCTAAAGTGAGCCGATCGGTGCAAAGAAATATTAAAAGTAAAGTTTTACATTTGAAGTTTAATGAATGACCTTTTTTAACTGCTTTGTAAATCAATCAAAAGAGAATTACGGAACTCAATATTTAGCAGCACAATAGTGCTTAGTCTACTTTAGAACACGATTAAATCTTACTCCACAGCTAATATTAAAACTAAGTTATTTGTCTGTTCTCTTTATACATATGACTAATACGTATATATGCATACGTATAACTAATACATACGACTAATAATACATTTGATTAATATATTATTATCAGTATATTAATTTTCAGGTTCAGAAGTAACTCCAAATTTTAAACATTTTTGTCCAAATGTATGTACATATTTTAATACATGTTATTCCACAGAAGTTCTAGCTGAGCTAATTATTATCTTTTTCTTCCTTTCAGGTAAGTGTTCCACTATGGCCCGAGTGTTGAGCTGATATTCTCAAGTAAGTTACGTGACACTATCTATATGACTCTCCAATATATATATATATATATATATATATATATATATATATATATATATATATATATATATATATGATATCATATCTTAGATATCCCTGCCAAAACTCAACCATTAAACAGTTGAAGTGGAAACCATTGCTAAAAATTGTAGCAGATGGCAATGGTTTCCACTTCAATTGTTTAACTGTTGATTTTTGGCAGGGAAATCCAAGATTAGATTTTAAAGAAAACTCATTCTATTGAAATCGGCTGCTTCCCTTTCTTTAAATACGCGAAAGTTTTACTCACTTTGCTGACAATGATGAGAAGTGTAGTACCAAATACCATGTTTATTATTTCCAAGACAGCGACGGTGATACAGATGGTTGTTTCATCAAAAGCTGAAATCAAAACCATACATTTTGATAACATAAATATAATAATTGTACTTCACGGAAATAATTTGCTCCAAATTATTCAGAGGCGTATTTGGAATGGAGCGTAGTATGCAAAACAAAAATATTTTCCTTATGTAAAAGTAATATAAAGTCACTTTTCCTTATTGATAAGCGATTGTTATCTTTTTTCATCTTTCACATTTTCAACTAACCTCGCCCAAATTCATTGCCATTGTGCTGCCCCTGATTTGCAAAAACTGGAAATTTACAATCATTAGATTGGCAATAAATTTCAACAAGCCATGCAGCGAAGATTTTCAGTTACCAAACTTCAGCCTTGTGTTTCTCCCCAGTGGTGCCAGCCTAGTTCAGGCCTTAACCTAACATTCGGTCACTTGCCGTACCACTGTTGTTTTACGCCCAACACGATTTGTAGTGTGTGACATGAAGGTTTCATCAAACTGAGTATTAATATTCCTGATCGCATTGTTGCATTGTTGTCTGTGTATGTTATATTGATTAATCGTAAAAGTAACATGGTAATTCTTATTTTCACGATATTTCGAATTAATAATGAATGGAATGAATCATTTCGTAGCTTTGTTTGTACTATGATTCTTCTACAATTTTAATCCATTTCTGTAATCTTATATACAAGTGAATCATATCAGATGAGTTAAACGTCTCCATCTACTCGTCAAATAGCTGACCAAATGTTTGTGTCATTGTGCTGGGAAATGCATTGGGCAGCAGTTTCTTCGGAATATCTCATCAAAGTCCAGAAGGTTCTGCAGGGTATGTTACAGTGAAGCGGAGTCCTTAGGATATTTGAATGGGTAAAAACCAGCACGGCATAAGTGACATTTTATACAATATGAGAAAACTGTTTATTTCATTTAATATCACTGTAAAGTTTTGGTGCTTTATGTCAGCATTAAAACCAAGGCATTTCAATTGTTTATTAAAACAATTAAAAATTGCATTGGCTCTGAAACAGTCTAATATAAACACGTTTTGTTCAAAATTAGTAAAATATCACTTACACCGTTCTGTTTTTCACCCTTTTATTTGTAAGCATTACCAAAGAAAGTAGTACTTTTTATGGAAGCAAACTACGAAAAACGAAAATCTGTAATTTGTGGAAATTAGGACACCGTTTACGACGGCGTTGTATCGCGCGCGTGGCCATGTGATCGGGCCTGACCTCGCCAGCCTGCCTTCAGAATTCCAGTGCACCAGCTGTTCGTGACGCTAATGGCCTTCCATGCCTTAATCGACGCTTCTAGTTTTGGAAATAAGCACGAAGTTTCTGTGACACTCAGGTTGAGACGAAATTGGAAAAATTACAAAACACACACACACACACACACTTTCTACGTGAATCTGTTTCTGAGGCCAAACTGGCCAAGGAATTACTTTTTCCTAGTATTATGAGCGACGCACAGTTGTATTTTTTCGCGCCTTAAATGACTCATTTTGTGTATATTGTGCCGAGGTTTGCCAGTTCTCAGGACCCCGCCCCTGTGCCTGGCTTTTGAATGAATTACCCGAGTGAATGGGCTAGCTTTATATTTACGTACTTGGCCATCATAATTATCGGTATTTGCGTTAACTGACGTTAGTCGCGTACGTTCTATTAGAAATATTAATTTGTGAAAGGTATTAATTGGATTGTTGGTGAAGTAGATACCGTTTTTTATTTTGATAAATAAATAGAGATATTGTCAGGTATCAATATTTTAATTCCACTAATGATCATTTCGATCGCGTAGCGATCATCCTCAGAGCTTGCAGCTTCTGGGCCGAAAACAAAGTTCTGCAAAAGGTTGTGAAAGGTATTTTGAACGAGTCTGTTCTCGAAAATAACGCTCTTTTGGACACGGCGAAGCAAATATGAACAATGGACAAGGAAGGCCGGGGTAATTGCTAATGCTCTGAATTATTTTGATAAGCTACATACCAGTGAGTAGCGGTCGTATTAGTTTTACGCGAAATTTTCGTGAACATCAGAACGCAATTCTTCCATACACAAAGATTTCGTTTCTACTTGTTTGTAATCGTCAATAATAGTGGCTGCGAAAAGCTGATTATAGAATGGAGTAACGATTAGCAAAATCCTCCACAATATTTGCCCTTTTGATACCTTTGGCCAACCTGCTCGCTTCCTTAATCTGGCAGCCATAATGAAAGGTTTTAGAGATTTTTTATTATCTATTGCACTTGAAAGTATCACATACTCAAAACATTGTTTGAATGGCATAAAAGCACTTTTTTAAGTACAGGGCGTAAGTTTTGAAAAAAAAGGACCCTTCCACATTCTTTTGGCTCGATAGAGAAATATGGACTTGTGTACCGTGTTCATTGTTGGTGTGCGTTGTGGTTCCATTGACGTATCCACTTGCTTTGGACAAGGAAATGACTCCGTTTGCTCCAAGAACAGAGCAAACCAGAACTCCGGATGAGGTTACCTGCGGAAGACGATACAACGTATGACTCAAAAGAAGAATATGACGTTTTTACTCATCTATGACTATCATCAGAGTTAGCCTCTTGTCTAAATCAATTCTTATCTTATCGGAAGGAAGAGTTAATCTTAATTATGATACCAGCGCCTTACGGACATGCGTGGAAATGGATGAATGGTGTTGATGGTTAAGTGTCTACGAAAATATTAAACTCGGCTCTCGTTAATCCTACACCACTTGGAGTTCATTCTGAGAAATAAGATTATTGGTTCTACAGAAGGATCTCTCATAGTTTTCTAATATATCTAGTCCCGGTCAGCTATTTGTTTCTACCACTTTTTGCTGCTTGCAAAACTACCATCAGCGCCTAAATAACTTATCTCCTCATTTTCTCAGTTTTTCGTTGTACTAAGAGTAGAATTGAAATGTGACTTTAAGAATATTTTAAAAGAGCAGAAGCTGGTTCTGTATGCAAATTTTAACTGAAAATATTGTAGTATTTGAGAAAATGCCGATTGAATGATTCTGAAAATACGCGATTTTAAGCTTATATTCACAGAAAGGTGTTAAGTTTTCGAAAAAATTTCATAAGTAATCATTTGTATCATTTGTACTTACGAATACAATTATGTCTAAAGCCCCCCTTAATGTAAATATTAATATCATGAGATATATATTTAAAAAATTGTTTAATGTTTGACAAATGAAAAGAATACATCAAAATGACATGTATGCCATTTTGGCACCATTCTTGCGAATAAAAAATACCACGAAACCTTTAGGCGCTAGTGTTCGTCACAGACAGACGAATGAACCACATGAATAAAACCCTTTTTGGTATCTGGGGACCCCATTTCCGTTGAAATCGATTTTCCGCAGCATTACATAACATGTATATGTATAATATGTAAAGTTATATATTATATAACTTTATACTTCGTACCTTTACTACTCGGTATATACACGTACGAATACGAGAAAGTAATAAATGTTTTAAACCGACATCCCTCGCCACAGAGTAAAGAACAAATAGTCTCGTGGAATAGCAACATTTACACAAGTATCTCAATATTTATACAAAGTATGATAATCGCTGTGGTGAGTATCTTATTGTCGACGAAAATGTATTATAGGATTATCTAGAGCCGAGCCTTTCATAATGTGTGCTAATTCTTACAATCGATTTTTTTTAAATTTCCTCAAGCCAGATAACTCCTTTACAGGGATTGCTTTAACGTAAATGACAATTCAAATCACAAACATACGAAAATAACTAACAGCAATAATACATTTCAAACATTAACAAATTACATTCTTTTTAAAAAAAATAGAAATACGGGAAACCCAACAGATTCCTCATTATTGTTAGCTGTTTTTCAAATACTTTTGTTGTTTATTCCTTGCATTGATTATTCCTCCGATAATGCAAATTTGTTTTACGTTGGTACTTACTAGCATGAGAACATCCGTTGCTATACAAAGTCTCCGAGACGAGCAGAGACACTCGGTGATGTATTGCGTTGCTAAAGCCATGTCGAATGCCGTTCGGGTAAGGACTGACACCATTTACGAAGGTACCTGCGTATTTGTGAAGTAGTATATCAACAGAAGTTCAAATAAAAGAAAAACATTGCACATTGCATGACGTAACAAAAAGCACATTAATGTCTCATCTGGTCCAATGCAGCCGAATGTCACATTAATAAACTTCAGATACTCCAAAATAAATTCATCCCCAAAATTCTTCATGCACCTTGGTACATTCCTATCACGCAATTGCACAATGAACTAAAAATTGATACTATTCACACTTTGATAAATTATCACAGCCAAAAAGTCTTCAATTCCTTTGACAAATTAAAGCAAACAGACTTTTAATTTAGGTAAAAACATGCAGATTTCCTCGACGTATTCTTTTAAGATTTCTGAAAGATAAATTTCATCCCTCCTAAACCACATAATATTTATTACCTTCCTCCCTCAAGCAACTATTTTTTTTTAAAATCTTAAAATATCCAATTACAATAAAATGTATATCTTTAAAGTAATTTTGTCAATAATCCCTGCCTGATGTTACTTGTGAAATCCAAATCTTCAGTAATGTCAATTTGTAATATCAAACTCTAAAAGACATTCTTGTCGAACATGCAGATTTTTTTAAAGCATTAGAAAGAACTAAAGTCACTTGCCCTTACTACCGTGACGTTCATGCTCCCGATTGATGGAAACTGTCAACAGCGGATATCTGGCAGGGGCAGAGTTGGAAAAATCGCAGTGTATCACAAACACCAATACAAACGTTAAACGAAAGAACTTGAGTCGACAGCTAATTTATTTCAAACAAGTTTATTCGAAGTAAACGTGAGAAAGAAATATTCAGTTCTTTGTTACTTCAGGCCTGAGACAGTGTATCCACGGGGACCCCATATTCCAAACCAAAGTTGCCCGAACACAAACAGATTCAATTTTTTTTAAACTAAAATAAAAATTAAAAATTGGGAGGTTAAAATTATTTGAAAAACAAGGCATTTTTCCCTTTTGAGTTATAGAAATTTTTTTGCATCAGAAAACGAACTGCAGATATGATTTTTTTTAGTTTTGCTAACAAAATAGTAACTCGTTCTTGCCTCTTCTCCTACCACTACAAGCAAAAGGTGAGCTCAACAAAACGTGAGCGTAGAGAAGCTACATTTATGTTCGTATCTGTTTATATTATCCTTTCAAAAGGGCTATAAAAAGCTTTGTTACTTTCTAACATAATTCTATTACTTAATAAGTTTTTTCCTGTTTTTGTACATTACTATGGAACATTCACAAAATGTTAATTAAAAAGATGGCGCCATTTGCCCCCTCCCTTTATTCTCTTTTAACCGGACAATTAGTGGAAATCGGGGAAAAGGTTCTTCAAATCATCTGGCAAGGCATAACACTAAATGGTTCGTGCATAGAGTAAAGACTGGTTTAGGTTTTAAAATAATATCAATTGTATTCATCAGTAGAATCGTGTAAGTCATACTTTTTTTGTAGCATGATTCATTTTTTTACTTATATTATAAGTACAATATGAAATATCGAAATATGATATTTTAATTAAATGGGGGCCCAGAAGTGTGTTCGCCACCTTCTTGATTTAGGCTGCGTTTACAATTATATTTCGTAAATGCAAAGCTTACCTGAATCATGCGTTAAAAATCACTCCATATCAATGTCACCCAACAGAACTACTTCTGCTACAAACCATGTGACTTCAGTCTCTGCATGTTGGACGGTCACTCTAGAACCGCATCTCGATATTAATTGCAAGGAGCCAAGATAAGCATCAGAACTGTAATTTCAAATAACAAAAGTTTTGAACTATTTATCGATACTTCTGCGCCTGTGTATCCATAAAACTTTTGGAGGTCATTGACAAGTCCAATACACATCCCTACCCTTTAATATATTTTAAATTAAAAGCATTGTTTTTATTATGAGCGACCAAAAATGCAAATATTACCAAGCTAATTTTATCTCAAATGACATTAATGAATAGATTTTTTTTGTTTCGATAAACAGCCCTTCTACAAAAGTGATAATCGATGTTTAAATTTGGGCTTATCTGAGGTATGTTTATCCCGAGAGCAGTCCTGAAGGAAACAAATAAACGTAATATCACTTGCCACATTAATAGAACACTCCAAGACCCTTTTTTCAATGGCACGTGTTTACGAACCGTCAGAGAATCCTCTACGAGGGCAGCGACTCCGATAAATAGATCGTCACCCTTGCTGCACTAAGCGAATCGAAGCGAATGACTGATCGTCTGTCCAAGGTGTCCTGCGAAAGGCTGCGTGTGGAAATTTTGTCATGAGTCAACCGCCGACAACGCAGTAAGCGCTGAACGACTAATTTAATGATTCTTCGTCGCAATTATTCGACCACTTTTCTCTTCGGCTGAGACGATGCGTTGCATTACAGTGGAATCGATTGAATTTAGCTCAGAGTCAGCTTTGCGGGAGATGAGATGGTGGTGACGGAAATTATTTGCCTCTGTATAGTGACTCTGTTCGGGAGGTTCTAGGTTCGAGTCCCTATTGATACTAGCTAGATAGCTAGTTCAAATTCAACCGCCGACTGGAGGAGAATATTCTATCAGACGGCTGCTCCGATCGGTATTTTTCCGTGGTTCCTCCGATCAACATCAGACGAATGCCGGAGCAGTTCCCTAACAAACGGGCCACGGACCGCGCGCTATCTTTCCTTCCTCTTCCTTGTCACACCGTCACCCGTTACTCACACACATTCAGACTTGCATGCATTACAGGCGGGACCAATCGAAGCTTAGAGCTTGTACTGGCTGGGGCGGTGCCCCACTGGTGGAGATACCTGAAGTTGGGAAAACCGCAAGCCGCCTTGTAGTTTGGCGCCGGATTCCGCCATTCAGAGGGGAAGATCGGCGCCAACTTATGAGCAAAACCACACTTCATTTGAGGGTATAATTACTAGGGGGATTTTGATTACCTAAAACATTGCTAAAATTATCAACAAAATGCTCTTAAAATTCTTTTAAAAATGATTTTAAAAATTTGATGAAAACAACTGAAGCTATTGTGTATGTTACTGATAAAAACAAGGCTTCTCTCTTTTGTTCAAGTGAACTCAGCTTTCAAAATTTTGGTTTGGACTGTTCTTTAAAAGAAAATCTCAGCCTTCATTTATCGAGAAATCGACCGATGGCGCCGATAGGTGTCACAGGAACTTTAGATTACATAGAACTCACAACGACTGACATTTCAATATATGAGCGAAGAAATCAAATAAACTACGGAGGAATTCAATGGAGAACATTTGTTGCACCTCGTAAATATTGTCTGAAGCAAATATCATTAAATTGATATTAAAATCTATAAAATTAACGAAAAATGTATTCAAAATTACGTATAATGAATTAGTCGAAATCGACAAAAAATGCAAGAAAATGACGTAAAAATGAGTCATTTCGTTTTGTCATAACATAAAATGAATTTCTATGTTAAACGGCATTGTTCTAAAGTGGAAAGAAAAAATAACTTTCCATTAAAATTCGCCTTCACTAACTACCATAGTAGTTGACATGATGCTCGGTAACATGAAATTATCAATAAATCAGTGGAACATCCAGATCCACATGTATATTGGGTATATTCACGACCTAGATCTGTATCTGAATTGAATTCAATTCAATTAATGATTTATTTAACGTGACGAAATCTAGATCGCGAATTCCATCCATGCAACTTGCCAGACGTGTACTCTATTTCTTTAAACGTCAATGTGCTTGTAACTCCTACCGAAGGCGAATACATTGGCCTCCTGTAACCAGAGGTTTCCGTGATTTTCGTGATCATTTCCAGGCGAATGTGGGAGCTGCACTCTCTACCACGGGCATGGACTGTGTGTGATCTTTCCTTCCCAATCCATTCCTATTCCTTTCCCCTCTTTCCTTCCCATTTTGTTTCCGTCGTCATTAGACATCGGATGTTAAGGCACTAAAAACTTACGTTTTAAGCGCCTAAAAGGCACTAAAATGTTTTTAAAGAAGTACGGAAAAAGAGTGCGGACATGCTACCTGGCGGTCCTCTTGAAAAGTCTCTGCACTCTCTGAAACCCTAACATTAAAATAAATAATGTGGTCACTAATGACTTCGAAGTTAATGCGGCCTTAAATGAGCAAATTTAAGAAAAGATTGTACAACACATGAGCAACCTATAGGGTCCTACCAAAACCCAACCGTTATCGAAAATAATTAAAAAATTTTACACACACATACGCAAAGTCTTACACAGACTACTGATACACAAATTACCCGCAATCCGAATTATCACGTGCATTTCTACCTGTATACAAATTTACACCCATTTACCGAAGTCCATGCCTTTACATGAAGGGCCACTCGCATGTACACTTATGAATCGTAAACACATCTACATTTTCACTCATTCATGTGCACATACGGTTGTGATACAATGTACTTGTTCCATGCATATACGCACGAATACATACACATATAGATACGCAGTTGTACAAGCGTGATTTAAACACAGAAACTATATGAAATTTTTGAGATCAGCTCTCTACACATCCGATAAGGAAAATATCTGCATGTGATCGTGGTGATGACCTTACCTGACAGACATCGTGGGGTGGTGCTGAGCGGCTGGGTGATTGTTTCGCGTTTTGGTGACGCCAAAATATCTTTTCGAGGAACACGAGAAATCTTTGAAGATCGTAATTGATAATGTAGCTCTCACGGGGAAAGGCGAAGTTTGTTGGTGAGGCACACCTCACGTGGAACGATGTTGCAATGGCACTCCGCACGTGGAAAGGGAAGCTTGTTGGTGATGCAGAACTTACGAGGTGGGGTGGTGTTTGTTGGTGATGCACACATCACGGGGAATGGCTATGTTCGTTGGTGATGCACACATCACGGAGAATGGCTATGTTCGTTGGTGATGCTGACCTCACGTGAGTGATGCAGACCTCACGTGGAATGGTGATGGAGTGGCAGTCCTCACGTGGAAGGGGAAGCTTGTTGGTGATGTAGAACTTACGAGGTGGGGTGATGTTTGTTGGTGATGCACACATCACGTGGAATGGCGATGTACGTTGATTATACAGACCTCACGTGGAATAGTGATGCCGTGGCAGTCCGCACGTGGAAATGGAGGCTCGTTGGTAATGCAAAGCTAACGAAGACGGGTGATGTTTGTTGGTGAGGCACACCTCACGTGGAATGGCCACGTTCTTTGGTGATGTAGACCTCGTGTGGAGTGATGTAGACCTCAGTGGCAGTCCGTACGTGGAATGGAGAAGCTCGTTGTTGGTGATGCATTCCTCACGCATAATCGTTGACGTGGTCTGGTGGCCACAGGAAATCTGGTGCGACTCGTCACTGTGGGGAAGTTCCTATCGCGACAGACACGCCGCTCTAGATGGCATTGCGAATCCGGGAGACTCGCTGTAAGTACAATGATACAAGGCAGAGACGTTTCATGGTGTAATTTGTAACTGGTTGGCCACTTTCTGGAAAACATGGAAATCCGGAAATTTCATAGCTTTGGAAAAATCGGGAGAAAATCAGGTAATGTGTAGAAGAACCGTTAGTAATCAGGGAGACTTTAACGAGGCTTACAAAACTATATATTGTTCTTAAAACATTAGTACAGTGTTATTTTTTCTCAATTTTTCTTTGATGAAAAACATTGTTCATTCGCACTTTCTCACGTCAAAATCAGAGAATTGAACAATAATTGAAAAAAAAAGAATTGGCAATGATCTCTGAAAAATAGTTATTTAGTTAAAACAATCTCTTGTTGAATTTCAGACTTAAAAAATGGAAATAAGGTGGTTGAACAAATCTGCAGGGTTGCCCGTAATCGCCCCTGGTTTTCATTACGCCCTCGTGTCGCAGTATTCACAAAGCATAGACTTATATCAAAGGGGTTTACACTCTGTCGAATCTACCTTCAAATCTGTCGAGTTGACAGTCATCAAGTTACTTTACCATACGGGGGAATGCCTCGACATGTGCATGGATGTTGAAGAGTGAAATGTTAATGGAAGGTTATAGAATAAAATAAAATTGGTTCACGGGATTGGTCAGAGAAACAATTAGTTGTGCCATCGTTTCGAAATGTTCTTCATCAGGGCCTACTAATAATCATGAAGGGAAAGTCTCAATTCAAGCCACAACACCAAACTCCACATCAAGTTTCTAATGCACGTGGATCCACCGCGCGTCAAGTGTGAATTGTGCCAAGGCCCGAACCGCAAAAGTAAATGTATGATTTTTAGTGAACCCTGATGACGAAATTAAATACTTCGAAACGTTTGCACAACTAATTGTTTCTCTATCCACAATGACCAATCTCGTGTACCAATTTTATTTTATTATTTCATCAATGGGCGTGATTCTACAATGGAAGATTTGTATGATTTGTTATATAGTCGTAAAAATTAGTGAATTAACATTTACAAAAAATGCAAGAAACGAATGAAAACAAAAAAAAAAATCTTACGTGCAGTAGGATATGCGGATGTGCAGTGCGATTTCCCTCAACGCGATGGGCGCTCCCATGGCACATCCGTGGTTGCAGCAGAAGACTGGCGGCTTTTCGGAATCCTTTCGCAAAGGGCAACTAGGGCGGAACTAATGCGCAATACTATTGCTCTGAGGCCGCAGCTGTCAAAATACAAAACGCTGGCTGGCTGCCTGCCTGTCTGCCTGCCTGCCTGCCTGCCTGCGTAATGCATGCGCCATTTGTTTCACCCCCTGTGCAATAGCGGGGTGTTTATTTATTTAATTATTTACGTCATGAACTGTCAAAAACTGTGTGTGACGTGCTGTGGGAAGAGGTAAAAATGAAGTTACATTTATGTCCAGAAGTAAAACAAGGGTTCATCTCAGCATTTTTTCAAGGATCAGGGAAATTGGTCGAGATTGATGTGTCATATGGGGGTGAAATGGCCGTGATCGAATAAATTCTGGCGGCGTTGGCCGAATGGCTCTGTGAAGTCAGGCAAGTTACGTGATTCGAGATTCCTGGACGGGTGCCCGTCTGGAAATCCCGGTTACTAACGCAACCGAGCACCTGGCCGAAGGGATAAAAGGCACTGAACTGACTGCGACGTGGAAAGACAAAAATACAAAAAAAAAGTCCAAGCGGATTACTCCAAGCGATCAATGCCCAAAAAGGACTTTGGTACGTTTTGCGAGGACGCAAAAAATAAAAAAAATAAAATTTTATTCGTCGTGTAATTGAAAATTAATTAAAATAAAGCGTAAAATAATTAATTCCGGAATCCAGACATACCAGGAAAGTCTTGAGTGTTCAGGAGGAAAATGGAAATTGACACTTTTTGTAAATAATTGTTTACATTCATGCAAAAACAATTGTTTACACTTTTGCAATTTGATAAAATGTTGTTAAAAGTTAGGTAAAAAAGTGGAAAAATTGTAGATTTTTCGGATATTAAAAACGTTTTATTATTTAACTAATTTACGTTGTTTACTTAATTTCCATAAATACATCAGAGCTTTAAAAGGTTTACTGTGGTACTATCTTAATAGTTTCACTCTTTACTTTAAGACCAAATTATAAGTATAGTCATCTTATAAGGATATTTGTTTAAATTTTCTTTCAAGTCACATTTAAGTGACTCTTTTTCATAAATAATTATTTATTTCAGACAACTACAAGTGTAATTTGATGAAAAAATTGTTTAAAATAAGTTGTAAAACAAGTAAATGAACAAATTGAATATTTTCTGCAATTTTTAATAATTATTTAATTAGGTTTAATTAGGTATAAATTCAATCAATAATGTATTATTTCAGAAGTGTTGTTTATCGATTTGAAATAAAATTAACCCCTGAAAATTCGATGATGACCTTTTTTGCATTGTCTAGAGACTGTGACAGTGGAACATGGATGCTATTTTTTTAATTAAATCATTTCCGAAAATTTTTCTTATTTTACTGATTTAGGTTATGGAATCATCATGAATGTAAGCATTCATTCATTTTCTTCAATCAATGCTTTGTTAGGTTTAAAAACCTCCACCCCATTATGTGAACTTATTCAGATATTCCATAAAAGTATTTGGAGAATTCTTAATAATAATAACTTAAATTTTAAGAATTATTGAGAATATTTTAAAATTTCAATGATTAATCAGAAATTCAATTATAATCATAGTACAGATTATATACTGTTCTCCTAGTTTAGAATATAGTGATAGTGAAGTTGATTTATAATATAAAAAGGCTGTACAACTAATGCAGTGAACTAAAAATTAATACAGGCATTATATGAGAAAATATAATGTTTTATTTTTAAGAACAGAATCATCAAGAAATGAAGTTTAAGGATATAATTAGTTGTAATAATTAATTATTCTCTCTAAATTTTGATTAGCGTGGATACATGGGATACTAGTACTTTTTTCCAAAGAGAAAAAAAAACCAGTAATTGTTTGAAAGAATGTACATTAAATTATAATTATTACTGTGAATTCCTACTCTTGTGTTATCGAGCTATTTACAGCTAGGTACTGAAATGTTTAATGTAATAAATCTAAAGGTGTAAGGACACACAATGTGACAAAATAATAATAGAGTATAAAAAGTGTTGGATTTAAATATCAAAGCGAAGGAGACATATCTATTAGATCAAGAAATACTACAGATACAAAAATGCAAAATTGACAAAGAACATTCAAGTATGTCATGAATTTGATTATGTAGATATTAAAATAATTTAAGATTGAAAGGAAGATCTTGATGTTAGATATGTAACAAAGAAAGATTAGGAATTGGGTTTGGTTTTGATATAGTGGGACAATAATACATTTAGTGAATATAAGTTATAATTTTTTTGTTCATATTATAGGATAATTTCTTCATTTTTCAGGTTGTTACTTAAGATTTCTAAGTAAGATCCTGAATGTATTGATTTCCAACTTTTATATTAAAATGATATTAATTTAATTACACGTTTTTAATAGTAAATGATAATGTTGTAAGACAATTTGCAAACACTAGAATTAATGGAATGCATGTGGAGATATGTACTAGATATGAACATTAGAACCTAGACATGAAAAAAAAAGAAAACTTAATTAATACTTCAATCAAATGATTCTCCTTTAAAGTAAATTTTTTTAACACGTTTTCAAAGCAAAATTTCTAGAAGATTAAAAAAGACATTAAATAATTTTTTTTTGGGGGGGGGGGGAATTCAAACTACTCAATTTGGATTACATATACTAATTGAAAAAAGTTGTAATTGGGTATCAAATATCAATGGAAGATTATAGATTACCAAAAATCTGTGTTCTCATTGGTTTTTATCGAATAGAAAAAAAAGAAAATAAAGTGCATGGTTAACCTAATTATAAGAAATTTAAAAAAAGTGAACTAAATGCAGAATGGACATGTAGAGGTAGCACTAATTGGAAAACACAAATGCAAATAAAGACATTAAGGTGTACTGATGTGTGTTAAAAAATAGGAAACAAAACAATGAAGTTGAAAAATACAATAATTTTCAATACAATAAATTTCATTATTATTCAAATCTTCTTAAACTAGAGTTTAGGAAGAACCTTGGCAAAACAAACAATTTTATTTGTTTATTGTCTGAACATCACTATTTGACTTTAGTCTAAAGGAGGTCTCTCTTTCAAAAATAGTTGATGGATAGAGGAATGATCATGTAGGTTAGTGAAGAAGCCTCTAAGCAGTATATGAGAGACATTCTTTAAAACTTCATTTCAAAACATAATTGATGTGGACTGAATTGTTATAATTATCATAGCCTGTGGCACAGTAAACTTTTTAATATATAACAATGAGGTTGTTACTTTGAACCAGCCTACTATTTCTAGACCAGTGTTTATTAGTGAATTCAGCATTATTTTGATTAATTCCAATTGCACTGTTAGGCTTTAAGAAATTGAGCTCAGAATTGTTACTGGATGTACATAACAATGCATCAGTGTACTACTGCCCATAACAATGATGGCAGAAGCAACATCGATTGTTATAAACATGTTAGGGCAGGGTGAGGCGAGCAGGGTACAATGAAGAGAGGCAAGATTGATCTCACTAAATGGGACAAAGAAGGGTGAGTTTGGACAGTATGTAACAGGGCAACACAGACCAGGGTGGAGATACTCATTCATATTGAATATATATCTTTTCCTGTCTAATAGACAATTATGATAAATATCTGATCAGCCTACAATATTTCAGCTAGTATATATAATAAATAAACTCTAGCTGAAGTCAACAGTTTTTAATATCTAGCATGAATTTTTCTATTTTCTTTTAATATTCTAAAAATTGTTATGAATATCTTGTCAATAATTTTATACTGAGAAAAACAATTTGTTTAAGAAAACTAAATTCGTTTTCTGTTAATTTTTAGTTGTAACTATTAAATATTTTTATGATCCTGACTGAATACATTTGTTCATGACTTATAGATAATCATTTTCTAAATGAAGTTAACAATATTTACTACAATGTTAAATCAGAATATATTCCAAATTATATAAAATAAAAGTATTTCATTTTCTCTAAATGCATTGAATTAAAAATATTTCAATTTCTGTATTACATAATGAACTGATCAGGGACAATGAACTTTGTTGCACGTGGCAAAATGAGAGTAAATTTACACCTGATATAATACCAATAAATTCAAAAGTGATGTTAGACATGTGTAGAATTAACAACTTATTAAAATATATTTCGTAATATGTAAATTGTAGTGCATCAAGAGTTCTTCTAGGGAGGAAAGAGAGAGATGAAGGTTATACAGATGTAGTATCCAATGGTCATGATATGGTTTTAAAAATAATATTTGTTTAAGTAGTATTGCAAATTAATTTTTATTTGTGGATTTATAATTATTTATAACATATTCAATAAAAATATTGACAGACTCATTTATAATGCTAATTGACAAAAAGTTATTTGTGAGTTTGCTTTAAGGGGGTGGTAACGGGAATGAAGTTCCTTTCCCCCATCCACAGAGTGATTTGATTTAAGTGAAGAAAAGTAGAAAGTATGTGACATTTGGAGAAAAAGTAACACTTGTACATGTTTTCTTTGAGCTCCAAAATCTCTTTCAACATTTTAATTATAAATAGTTGAATGACGAAAACAAGTTTCAAAAAAGAGAGGCTAACAACATTTAGAAAATAGACATTTCGCTTCCGAGTTATACAACACTTATTTGCATCAGAAAACTAGCTATAGATTTGATCTTTTGGTATTGTTAAGAAAATAGTGAAGACGACACCATTTTAATCAAAGATGTATTTTAAATTTGTCAAAATGAACACTTAGTTCTCTGAATGGTTTCTGTGAATAGATTCTTCAATCTGAGTGAAATTATTTATTCAAAGCAAATCCTTTAAATAATTATTTTGAAGATGCAGAAAACATTTAGAAAAGAGTGAATAATTGTTTCAGAAATTTTCAACAGAAATTAATAATTTGGTTTCCATCAAACAAAAATATTGAAAACCTGATTATGTTTGATGAAAATGTTTTTATACCTAGTCTATATAAATAATTACAAAGCTTTGTCAAAACCATAATTCTCGGCCAGTTAGACTCCTAAGCACATTAGGTTTGCTTTTGCACTAAAACCCTGACTGCACTGCAGTGGCGGCGTAAGGCTAGCTGGTTACCCTGAGGTTTTAAGTACTAGACTGGTGGCTTCGGCTTTAAGTTCTTAAAGCCTGAGGCTTTAAGTACTTAAGTACTAGACGGGTGGCTTCGGCACAATGAGCACCCTCTGGCGAAACGCGCTCTCTTTGTGGCAAAACACACTGCCCGCCTAAGTGCAGAAGGCGCGCCCTCCTCGGGGCAAAACGCGCGCTCGCCTAGGGGCAGAAGGCGCGCCCTCCTGGGGGCAGAAGACCCGCCTTCCGGGGGGCAGAAGACCCGCCCTTCTGGGGGCAGAAGGCCCGCCCTCCTGGGGGCAGAAGGCCCGCCCTCCTGGGGGCAGAAGGCCCCCCTCCATGGGAGGCAGAAGAGCCCGCCCTCCTGGGGCAAGGAAGAGCCCGCCCTCGGGGCAGAAGGGGCCCGCCCTCCTCGGGGGCAGAAGGCCCGCCTCCTGGGGCAGAAGGCCCGCCCTCCTGGGGGCAGAAGGCCCGCCCTCCTGGGGCAGAAGGCCCCGCCCTCCTGGGGCAAGAAGGCCCGCCCTCCTGGGGCAGAAGGCCCGCCCTCCTGGCGGGCAAAGGCCCGCCCTCCTGGGCAGAGGCCCGCCCTCCTGGGGCAGAAGGCCCGCCTCCTGGGGGGCAGAAGGGCCCGCCCTCCTGGGGGCAGAAGGCCCGCCCCTCCTGGGGCAGAAGGCCGACCTCCTGGCAGGAAGGCCCGCCCTCCTGGGGGCAGGAAGGCCCGCCCTCCTGGGGGCAGAAGGCCGCGGCCCTCCTGGAGCAGAAGGCCCGCCATCCTGGGGGCAGAACGCGCGCCTTCCTCGGAGCAGAACCGCACCACCCGCCTCGGACAGCCAACGCGTCCCCCATAAGCAGACTCGAAGATCTCCATCTAGTCAATAGCAAGGTACAGCCCGAGCCAGCACATGCCCGCCCGCTTGCACCGCCACTGCCGTCTGGGGCCGTGCGGTGGGCTTTCGGCCTTGGCGCGGCTGCATATGGCGCTTCCTCCGCTGCGTTCATCGCTTGGGGCGCCACCTCGGGTGGCGCGGGCGAGTGGCTTCACCGCATCACGGTCCAGTCCCTGGCGTACGGCTTTAGGATCTTCTCGGACAGCATCGCCGCATGGTAGTGTGCACCACCAGCGCGAAGTACGCCACCGGCACTGCAACGCAAACGCACACCGCACAATTGTTAATTTTATTTTTTATGATGGAGCTTAAAGGCTGAGCAAAGTATGATTTGATGATCGTTTGCAGATCTTTCGTCACTAGTTTGCGATTACTCGCTCTCTGTCGCTCCCCCCTCACAACACACACACACACACACACACACTCTACCACATACACCCCCGCACACACACTCCACCACATACACCCCACACCACACTCCACCCACATACACCCCACACACACACATCCACCCACATACACCCCCACACACACACTCCACCCACATACACCCACACACACACTCCACCCACATACACCCCCACACACACTCCACCCACATACACCCCCCACACACACTCCACCCACATACACCCCACACACACACTCCACCCACATAACCCCCCCACACACACACACACAAAGTCATGCAGTCGAATGCGGTGGAAATAGAGAATAAAGATGGAGATGATGTAAAACGAAGATCATGGTTAAACTCTGGGAAAACTGTAGGATTTGTGAAGATAATACGATGGAGATCAGGAGACGAAAAGGATGGCGATCATGGAAATTGAGGTCGGAAGTTGAGCAAACGGAGGGGTGAGGGGAGAGAAACTAGTAAGATGTAAGAGATGGCGGAGGGCGACGAGGGAAAAGGAGATGGCGGAGGCGACGAGGGAAAAGGAGATGGCGGAGCGACGAGGAAAGAGATGGCGGAGGCGAGAGAGAAAGGAGATGTGCGGAGGCGACGAGATAGAGAGGGGGTGCAGGTGAGGAAGGAGATGGCGCAGGGAGGAAGGTGGAGATGGAGGCGACGACGGAAGAATAAAGAGATGGCGGAGGCGACGAGGGAAGACGAGACGGCAGAGGCGGCGAGGAAAAATGAGACGGCGAAGATGACAAGGGCGATCGTGAATACGCTGCACCAGTGCGGGGCAAGAGGGCTGCTTAACCGACGGCGGCGGTGGCAGAGGCGAGGGCGGAGGCGCCGAGGGCGACGAGGCCCGCGGCCATGGCCTGCGCCGCCAGCGGCAGCGCCACAGCACCGCGCCGCGCCGGCCGCCGCCAGCGACACGCGCACCCACAGCAGCGCCAGCGACGGCCGCTCCTGCGGGCGCACGCACACGTCAAACAATCGGACGGCTTAGAGGGGAGTTGCGCACCGGCAGATGCACTACAGTGGTGGCGAAGCGCAGAAGATGGACAGTGCTTTAACGTTCGAGAGTGCACAAACTCCTAATGTTAGGGGCTTTAGCGGACAGGTCTATCGATCCTCTGCGGCATGCGCAGATGCACGAAAGTGGTGCGAAGCTTTATCTCTGCGCGATCGCGGAGGATTGATGAGTGATTTAACGTTTCGAGAGTGCAGAAACTCCCTAATGTTAGGGGCTTTACGGGGACCGGTCTATCGATCTCTGCGCATTCGCAGATGCACGAAGATAGTGCGAAGCTTTATCTGCGCATGCGCGGAGGATGATAGTGATTTAACGTTTGAGAGTGCCACAAACTCCCTAATGTTAGGGGCTTTAGCGGACAGGTCTATCGATCCTCTGCGCATGCGCAGATGCACGAAAGTAGTGCGAAGCTTTATACTGCGCAATGGCGGAGGATTGATAGTGATATTAACGTCTTGAGAGTGCACAAACTCCCTAATGTTAGGGGCTTTAGCGGACAGGTCTATCGATCCTCTGCGCCATGCGCAGATGCGACGAAAGTAGTGCGAAGCTTTATCTGCGCATGCGCGGAGGAATTGATAGTGATTTAACGTTTGAGAGTGCACAAACTCCCTAATGTTAGGGGCTTTAGCGGACAGGTCTATCGATCTCTGCGCAGCGCAGATGCACGAAAAGTAGTGCGAAGCTTTATCTGCGCATGCGCGGAGGATTGATAGTGATTTAACGTTGAGAGTGCACAAACTCCTAATGTTAGGGGCTTTAGCGGACAGGTCTATCGATCCTCTGCGCATGCGCAGATGCACGAAAGTGGTGCGAAGCTTCATCTGCGCATGCGCGGAGGATTGATAGTGCTTTAACGTTCGAAAGTGCACAAACTCCCTAATGTTAGGGGCTTTAGCGGTCAGGTCTATCGATCTTCTACGCATGCACAAATGCACTAGTGGTGCGAAACTGGAACTGCTCATGTGCAGATGATCGGAAGTAGTTTTAAGTTCGAGAGTGCACATACTCCCTAATGTTATGGGGTTTTGCGGACAGGATTATCGATCTTCTGAGCACGCGCAGATGCACTAAAGTGGTGCGAAACTGGAACTGCGCATGCGCAGATGATGTATAGTGCTTTAACTTTCGAGGATACACAAACTCCCTAACGATGCAACATCAATAACAAAACATCGATGTTAGCAAACATCGATGATCAAAATTAAAACATCGATGTTAATAATACATCGACTAAAAACTTTCCATGTTTTTCAACATCGATGTTTTCAAGCTGGTTTAATATACTCTAACCGTAAAATTCGTGTGCAATAAAATTTAATTCAACAGGGCGTCTGGCGCGTGTTTAGTACCGTGGTAAGGGGAGAGTAGTGCCAGGACGGTAATTTTGAAACCGAGATTAGAATTACCATTGAATTGTTAAAAAAACGTGTTATCGTATGTTTAGTTGTTTCCAGAAACTGAAACTGATTTCATCTCTGGATATTTCAAATATAAATTACTATTCTAATACGTACCTTATATATTCCGAATAGAAGCAACAGCGAGAAGTGGAAGTAAAAAGCCTCTACAGCTGCATACATATGTAGGAAGACGTGAACATCTGCAACATCACAAGATTCGACGTTGTAATACAAGGAAGGCTATGCAACTATTCTCTTTTCATACTCTAAGTTTGATAATTATGTTATAAATTTTAAGATTTGGTAGCTCTGGACACGAAATACCCCTTCAATTCGAACTCCCCTCACAACTGGATATAAAATTGGGTTTCTGAGAATAACCACCCTCTCCGTCGTCTAGATCAGGTTTTTCGATCAGCTTCTCTTTCACCGTTGAGCAATTCCTGCGATGGACTTTGCGTGTTTCTGGACAAAAATTTAGCTAAAGTACCTGCGTATGTTATCTCCAGGTATCTTTCTGCGAGTAGCGATTGACTGATTAGCGATTCCGGGAGCGTGAACGGCTGAGGTCATTGGTCATGTAAGTGTAGTGCTTGATTTTTATCGCTGGAGGTGGCAGCGATATTCCGATGGCAAGATCTAGCGCTGACCTACACGTCGGCTTGCAAGGTTTTCCTCAACCAGGTATCTCCCACCAGCGGTACGCCGCCCCAGCGGAGACAATCTCCGGTTTGGTCTCGACATGTGTGATAGTGTAGTGTATGTAATGGTGAGGTTAGGACGAGAAAGCTGAAGGAAAGATCGCGCGCCCTGGCTGGACAGATTTGTTACTGCGCCGGCATTCGACTAGTGTTGATCTTTCTTTTTAATTACTATGTTAATGAGTTAATGTTTTTAATGGCTGCTGCTCTTGTGATATTGAAATCACTAGTTTTCTACTACACATATAAAATGCCCCAATGAAGGCGGTGTATCTCAAAAAGTTTATCGCTTTTTCTATCCGAGTTTTCTTACCGCTCCTCCCTACATGCCAATCAACTGAGAGTCATTTATCTGATGACGGCTGCGTCGATGTGCAATGAACCGCGTATGTGCTATAACATAACCTCTTTCATTTTAATATGCATTCAGTTATTTTCAACAATTGGTGCCTTTTGGAACTCTGTTGGACGTAATTTGGTCCCATTAAATACCAGTCGTGCTCAGGAAATTCTCAGATAAATTCTCTCCTCGGTTGCCGAGTCGGAGATTTATCTTCAATTTCCAATGCACTCGTATTATCTGACTATTCCACTCGTGAAATTAAAACCAATAATGTTTAACTATACATATAAAATAGCCCAATCAGCGTATTCACCCCAATCAGGGCTTCACCCTACTGGCCAATCATAAACTGACTTATCTATTTTAGGTGGCGCTATATATCGGTCATTATATTGTTGTACAATAAATCGCGTATGAACTATAACATAACCTCTTTGGTTTTAAGATAACTGAAAGCTATTTTCAGTATTTGGCGCATTTTGGAGCTCTGTTGGCAGTAATTTCACTCGTGGAATAGTCCTATTAAATGCCACTCGTGCTTTGGAAATGCTCGGATAAATCCCCTCCCTTCGATAGTCGGGGGATTTATCGACGATTTCCAAACCACTCGTGGTAAGATTTTAAAAAAACCGTTCGACAGTCGGGGGATTTATCGACGATTTCCAAACCACTCGTGGTAATATAATAAAAAATCGTCGGGATTTATCGACGATTTCCAAACCACTCGTGGTAAGATTTAAAAAAACACTGTCGGGCTCTCACTGTCGTGGCTGGCGAAGCGGTGCTGGCTGAAGGCGTCGCGCACGAAGCTGTCGACGAAGTTGTCGTCGAGGTCGTAGTCGCGCGCGCGCTGCGCCCAGCGCTGCCCGTCCGCCCACGAGCGCCACGCGGCCAGCGCCACCAGCGCCTCGGCGCCCGCCAGACCCGCCAGCGCGCACGCCTGCAAACAGACGCACACACATGCACAAAATTAATAAGAAACACTTACAAAGTAACTCATGTTTACTGTTAGGTTTGGGAAAAAGTTGAAATCGTACGATAAAGTATCATTTTTTTTGTGATAGTCGTTCGTTAAAGAAACGAAAGCAATAAGGAATGCTTACAACGAAACCACTACTCATGTTCACTCTTGAGTTTGAAAAAAAGTGGAAATCGTACGGCAAACTAACCCATTGAGGTAATCGTAAGCCAAAGTATATTTTTTGTGATAGTCGTACGCCAAAGTAACATTTTTTGCGATAGTGTACGCTAAATTAACATTCTTTTTTGCGATAGTGTACGACAAAGTAACATACTTTTTTGTGATAGTGTACGCCAAAGAAACATTCTTTTTGTGATGGTGTACGCCAAAGTAACATTCGTTTTTGTGATGGTGTGCGCCAAAGTAACATTCGTTTTGTGATGGTGTGCGCCAAAGTAACATTCGTTTTGTGATGGTGCACGCCAAAGTAACATTCTTTTTTGTGACTGTGTACGCCAAAGTAACATTCTTTTTTGTCACTGTGTACGCCAAAGTAACATTCTTTTTTGTCACTGTGTACGCCAAAGTAACATTCTTTTTTGTGACTGTGTACGCCAAAGTAACATTCCTTTTTGTGATAGTGTACGCCAAAGTAACATTCTTTTTGTGACAGTGTACGCCAAAGTAACATTCTTTTTGTGACAGTGTACGCCAAAGTAACATTTTTTGTGACAGTGTACGCCAAAGTAACATTTTTTGTGACTGTGTACGCCAAAGTAAGATTCTTTTTTGTGATAGTGTACGCCAAAGTAACTTTTTTGCGATAGTCGTACACCGAAGTTTTTTTCCGATAGTAGTACGCTTTTTGTGATGGTCGAGCGGCAAAGTAACCCTTGCGGTTGCCGTGCGGCAAAGTAACACCTCTTGCGGTAGTTGAACTTTTCGGCGACAGTCGTGCGACATTCGTGGAACACTTTGTCATCGTGGAACACTTTGACATCGTGGAACACTTTGACATCGTGGAACACCTTGTCATCGTGGAACACTTTGACATCGTGGAACACTTTGACATCGTGGAACACTTTGACATCGTGGAACACTTTGCGGTTTGCAGGATTAGTACCGCAAAGTAAATAATTAATACTGCAAAGTTAATAAACCTCCAGCGCCCCAAAGTTAAACACTTGATTATTTATTATTTGAAACGAAAATAATAAATTCACTATTCAATGTGTGGCCAATGTTTGAAAAATAGTAGTTACAAAAAAATATGTTAATTGTTGCAAGTTTATGTAGGCTAAAGTTACCCATAAAACTATTCGTGAAAAAATCCTAAAAATCATTTTATTTTCGACAAAGACTGAGCAACGAGGTAGGATAACCACTCCTATCTCAGTTGACATTTTTCAAGATCACTCCAATTAAAGTTATTCTCCCCTTGAATTGCTGTTTTCGAGAGTTTTTTGTGCGATTTTAGCTTCTGCAATTGTGTTCAAAGTAGGCGTCCAACTCGCTTGCAACATGCGATTGTCAAAGACAAGATCTTAAGCACACAGATCATAGGCGACCCACTTCCAAAAGGCAAGAACTCAAAATTCTAATATTTGAGATATTGTCGCTTAAGTTTTATATAGCTCTGAATTTGGAATTGCTTTGCATCACATGAATTTTGAATTTATGTCAACGCGGTTCAAAATTAATTTTAAAGAATTGAAATTCACTTCTCGTCACTTATCAGAGTGCACTATCAACTTATCAGAGCGATATTTAACTTCCAAACTGCGATATCTCAAAACGTACAATTTTGAGTTGCCGCCCCATAGAACTGTGTCATCATAACTGAAGGCGGTGAAACTGTCCATTTACGTTTGAAAATCTACAGTTCATTAAGGAGACATTTTCCTCAATCCCGAGAAAGCCAACCACAAAACGGTTTAGTCCTTCACTAATTCCTTTCCACTGCCATCCTTATTTAGACAAGAAAGAGATCACAAAAGTTAAGGAGTACGAAGTTTGCGTAGGTTGTCGCCATTTCTTCCAAGAATGTTTATCGTAACATAATTATCGTGAAGTTGGTTACGAAAGGCTGGGGAAAATGTATTGTCACGGCTGACTATAGTTTCCACACCTCTTCCTAGGAATGGCGAGGCATGGCTACGAAGTAAGAAGAGAAATGAATTGTAAGGCAAGGGGAGGCAAAGTTTTTAGTTCTCGAAATTGCATCATTTTCTGCATTTACAAGCAATTGGCACTGTGAATTGCAAGTGCATTTTTGAGTGTCCAGTACACTCCCAAAAAGTTACTTATTTACTTTATTTTGTTTGGGTAGAATATTGCAGACCTTTTACAGCTGAAAAGGAGTTTCAATGGAGTTGAATATTTTGTGGGTTCATATTCAGCTCGTTTGCTGGCTTGCATTTCTTCAAACATTGACTCAATTGTTCTGCACGCTGCTTTCAAGACGCCACACTAGTACATATTACAAATTTTTTTGAAAGGAATTCTATGATCATAAAATATTTAAGCAATATCTTGTGACCAGATATTACTTCAATTGCGTGCCTTCTTCAAAACCTACTTAAATAAGGAAATGAAGTGCGTCGTCTCAAAGAAATATTGGTCCCTTTTCTCTTGCTAATTTTTTATTAAATAATTCTGTAGTTCATTACTTAAATAATTCTGTAGTTCATTACCATTCAGGTTTTCAATTAATATTTGTCAAAATCTCTTTGATTCTTTTTTCTCTTCTCCTAAACATCCGTGCTCCTTTATTCAAAGAGATGCAATTACATCCAATGTTAGTTCGCATGTCTAAAAAGACCTCAAGTGTCAAAAATAACCTATTTCAAAGGACTGTTTCGTTTGAAAAAGAATTGCGAGAATAAAACAGTGGTAATTGTTTAATTGTGTTCTCTATATAATGTAATTTTGTAACCAGGGTCTGTGCGTGTGTCCGTCATTCACCGTTAGACACCCTTCCAGTCCATTAATCGAGACACGTAAAGTGTCATTTCTCCATTTTCTATCTTTAATTAAATCGTAACGGTGTATTTGGAATTACTAAGGAGCATTTGTTGCAGTGCGTTGAAATCTATTATATAATCAAGGTATTATACTCATTCCCGTCCACTTTGCCCGCCTATGCACAAAATTCTATTATAAAATATTGCAGATTCCTTCAGCAATTCACTTTCACATGTTTTAGCAGAATCTGTATGAATCGCATCGCGAAAGGTTAAAGAGAAAAGTTACCCAGTGAATTTTTCGACCTCCCAAAGACACAAATCGATAAGTGCGTTTTTGTCATTTATCACCTATGGAGTCAGAAAAATAGTTTTGTATAGTAAACTAGAATTTTGTTTACTACATCATACGATATTTTATAAATATTCTACATCCATTGTATTTGCGTTCCGCCGCTACAGAAGACCAAAACTTGAATATATTTAAAAAATATTCTATTAACATTGTGTATTACCTTTCTGATAACATTGTATTGTTTCGAGAACAAAGTTCAAATAACACTATTACTATTGTATTCATATTAATAATCTATACAACTACTAGTAACTTGAACTCTGTCACGATAAATAATAAACCCACGTGTCGATTATTTACTAAAGCTACAAAAAACTGTTCCATGTAAATACTCACTGCAGATACAATTCCAATGATGATACTTCCAGTCCTCAAGGAGTACACGCCGCAGCAGGTTTGAAATTGAAACATGGTCTGGCGACCTGTAAGAATAATAAAAGTACAACTTCATTACGGGGAAGGCGACAAGTTACATCACCTCGCCACTTATACTCATCTTCCACAGAAGGCAAACAACAGGAAAACCGCAAGCAAACAATTAGGACCGTTTTCCTTCTTCAATAACTCATCATATTCTTACGTCGAGGTGCATGGTTATCCTTTTCCATTTTCCTCGATACGCGGCAGGAAAATGTAATGCAAGATTGATGCGCATCCTAACGGATGTTACCCGGTGCTGGTTGCACGTTTCACGCGGATTTACTATTAAATGAACGATTGAGAGATTTCATTAATTGATTCAGAAAACAAACAAAGCGGAAAAGTACAAATATTTCTGTAAAAAGTGTGTATGGTGTAGGAAGGCCCAGAGAAAGTGAACACAGGAACAGGTTCTAGAATCTAACACTTGAAGTGCAAACGACGAAGACGAAGAAGAAGAAGAAGAAGAAGGAGAAGAAGGAGAAGAAGAAGAAGAAGGAGAAGAAGGAGAAGAAGAAGAAGAAGGAGAAGAAGAAGAAGGAGAAGGAGGGAGAAGAAGAAGGAGGAGGAGGAGGAGGAGAAGAAGAAGAAGTGTTAATTAAAAAATATATATTTTAATCGTAACAGTACTTCATGCAATTATGTAGTTTATAATGTTCAGCTTTATTCTAGGGTACACATTTTGAATACTAGCGACGTTACGAACGATATAAATCGGTTAGCATGCGATATAAGTCGCCCGCTAAACCGGACGGCATAGCGGGCTTCCTTAGAATCGATTTCGAGTTTGCGCATGCGCAGTGTGTCAAAAGTGCAGTCTATTGCTGATTCGCTGTGCCATGCCAAAACTCCCTATTATCCCTCCAGCTTGCTCCTCCAATTGATTGATTCATTAGCAATTCCAAGTGCGTCAACTGCTAAGGTCTTTAGTCCCATAAGTGTAGTGAATGTTGCACCCTCTCGATGGTGAGATCCGGCGCCGAACTTCGTCCGCTTGCGGGGATTTCCCCAACTAGGTATCTCCCACAAGCGTGGCTCCGCCCCACCTGAGACAAGCTGTAAGCTCCTGACAGGTGTGGCAGTGTGGTGCATGTAAGTGTTTGTGTGTGTGTGTGTGTGTGTGCGAGGGTAAGGGGGAGCGGATAGGACAAGGAAGAGGAAGGAAATATCAAACGCGGCGATATCAGGGTACTGCTCTGGCATTGGCCGATCACTTCACCCGGCCGCTAGAATTCTCCTCCACGCAAATGGGGATAGGTGACGCCAGAGCAGTGCTTCTGACCGGGAGTCCCGACAGTGGCAGGATTTATGACACTAGCTAGAAAGTTAGGTCGACTTCTTTCACTGTCTAGAGGCGAAATCTAATGGCCGACTGCTCTGATCGGTAATTTTCCATGGTTTCTCCGATCAACACCAGGCGAATGCCGGAGCAGTAAGCTAACTAACGGGTTACTGACCGCCTGCGATCTTTCTTTCCCCTTTCTTGTCCTATCTTCACCCCTTACTTACACACACTTCCATGCACTACTCTACCACACATGTCGGGAGACCGGTCGGGAGCTTAGAGCTTGTCCCGGCTGGGGCGGTGCCCCGAAGTGGGAGATACCTGGTTGGGAAATACCCCACTTGTGGACGGTAGGTCGACACCGGATCTCTCAATCCAGAGTAGGGGATCACCCCCACTTCTCGAGCAACAAACATGCCCTACACGTACGGGACTTAGATGACGCGCCCGAAATCACTTAAAACAATCAATCAATCAATCAATCCTCCACGCAGTGGCCGAATGCGACGTGAGAGAGAGCGTCGAGAGTGTTCATCTAGTGTCGAAAATTCTGCCAGCGGCGTGGCTACTCGCGTGATGTGGGGCGCAACGCCTGCCGAAGCGCCACGCCGGGGCCCTACAACTCCTATACGACTATAACGTGGTGGAGACCATTACGGTGGCGCGCTCTGCTGCATCACCTTCTTTACAGCAACTAAAACACGATCTGCTGCCAACGATACCTTAAACGTGCGTGGCTGCTGCGTGAGTATGCGGGAGTCGCAAGCAGGGCCATAATGTTACAAAAGATAACGTCTACGTTCGCTCTTTCTTCAGAGGTTTCTTATACGTTTAGGTTATGAATAACTGTACATTTAGAGGACACTTTTCGTATTTCTCACAAATTAGACAATTTGCATGTGGGGAAAGTTGGCGAGCCTGACCTGCAGCTGCAGCTTGCGCGCGGCGATGGTGTAACGGTTAGCGTACCGGACTGTTGTTGGCGGGTTCAAACCCGATAAAGCCGCGGATTTTTAAGGGCGAAAAATCCTTCGTACGCCTTCCTTCGGAGGGGAAGTAAAGCCGGCTGTCCCATGTTCGTAGATTTACTTGCATGTAAAACATCCTCAAGCTTAAATGACGTAGCCTCTGAGCTAAATTCAAGTCGCCTGTTTCTCGCCCAAGAAATACCTCCTTTCTCTGCTAGTTGGTGAAAGAAGCGTAGCGAAATTTGCGTGGTAAGACGGAGCCTCATGGCCTGAGTCTCGCCACGTAAAATAAGGCTTAAATTCAATTCAATTCAATTCAATTCACCCGGCGACATTAGCGCCTATAGTAACTTTGTCCCCGGTTTTCATGGAGAGTTGCCGGGCCCTGCGCCACGCCCTGTCCCCCCCCCCCGGCGCTGTCCCCGGCGACCTCGCTTGGCGCAACGGGGCCATCGAGCACACCTGCCGCGTGCGTCACGGCACGAGAGAGACCCGGCGGGGGGGAGGCGCCTAGGGGACACTGGCTGATAAGAAGCGCGCCGCGCGGGCTATTTTTAACTAGGCGCGGATTCTTAAGGGTGCCATATTTTTTCTCTCACAAAGTTGTAATTCATTTTTTTTTTACTTTCTCGCTACCGCCTACGCAGTGGAGAGATTGTTATGTGGTGCTGCGCGAAAAAAAGGCGAAGTTTCGGCAGAAAAACGCTTATTACAGGGCCCTGGGAACGAAAAATTGGGTAAATGCTAAATTTAGAAGAAAAAGTGTTTCTAACACGTCCTGTAGCCAGAATCTCTGATTTGTGGGTCGTTGATACCGAAAAGTCGATTTACGTTTCTCTATCTGTGAACATCGCTAGCGGATAAACCGTTCAGCCGATTTACTCCAAAATTGATATTCCCCAATCGATGTGCCTGTTGTCTCGGCCCCTATGTGTAGAAAATCGATCTAGTATGTGTCCAATATCCTCACGCCGTCGGGACTCAAACCTAGGACTTCCAAACCAGAAACACTGCAGTGGCACCAATTAATGCCCTGAGCCACATCTCCCGGCCTAAGTGTAGAAAATCGATCTAGAATTTGTCCAATATCCTCACGCCGTCGGGACTCGAACTTAGGATATCCTAGCCAGAGATACTGCAGTGACATCAATTGATGCCCTGAGCCACCTCTCCCGGTATATGTGTAGGAAATCGATCTAGTATGTGTCCAATATTGGCGGCGATGGTGTGACGGTTAGCGTATTGGACTGTTACACGCGGGTTCAAACCCGATCGAAGCCGTGGATTTTTAGGGCGACAAAATCCTTCGTACGCCTTCCTTCGGAGGGGAAGTAAAGCCGGCTGTCCCATGTTAGTAGATTTACTTGCATATAAAGATCCTCAAGCCTAAATGACGCCTCTGAGCTAAATTCAAATCGCCTGTTTCTCGCCCAAGAAATACCTCCTTTCTCTGCTAGTTGGTGAAAGGAGCGTAGCGAAATTTGCGTGGTCAGACGGAAGAGCGGGCCTGATGGCCCGAGTCTCGCCACGTAAAATAAGGCAAACTCAAATCAAATCAAATATCCCCACACCGTCGGGACTCGAACGTAGGACCTCCTAACCAGAGGCACTGCAGTGGCGTCAGTTAATGACCTCTCCCGGCCTATGTGTAGAAAATCGATCTAGTATGTGTCCAATATCGTCACACCATCGGGACTCGAATCTAGGACTTTCTAACCAGAGGCCCTGCAGTGACATCAGTCGAGCCACCTCTGTCGACCGAAATTTCTTTCAAAATCTGCCTCCCCGCGTTCGCCGCCCTCCGGAAAGCGTCGCCCCCGCCGGAAAGTGTCGTCCAATATTCGTTGCCCCTCTCCCCTCCCATCCCCCCTGCGGCGGCGGCGGTCCGTCTGTTGTGGCGAGTGCAGAACTGCAAGTGCTTCCGTCCGTGTGGGATATCCGTCTCGCGTCCCACCACTGCGTTCACCCGGACTCCGGACGACCCGTTTCCAGTCCCGCCGCTGGCGAAACACGCGCCTGCGCAGATCGCATTTCCCTCCCGCAACAGGTAGCGCGCGTGCTTTGACCCGTTCAACGGCTATCGTATTCAAAAAAGAACGGTAAAACCTGTATGTGACTTACGGGGAGAAGTAAACTAAAATACTTACACAACTCAAAACATAATAATAATGATAATAATAATAATAATAATAATAATAATAATAATAATAATAATAATAATAATAATAATAATAGTGTTGAGGTGAATGATTGCTATACACCACGATATTATAGTACAGATTAGTATGGATCTTGTGGTACAGATATCTCCATCAACTTCTTTATGGTACAGATAGTCTGCTGTACACCACGATAGGTCCATATCATTCCATGATCATTCTACTTCACATACCAAATAAACACGACACTTAACTTCACTTCAAGTCTTTTATTACGTTTCGGAAGTTAATTGCTTCCATCTTCAGAAACTAAGGCATACATTGTATGGTACTGTGTATGTCTTAGGTTCTAAAGATGCAGGCAATGAACCTCCAAAACGTAATAAAAAGACTTGTTGAAGTGCAGTTAGTGTCGTGTTTATTTGGTATGTCCAGTTGAATTTATAACATATGGTGATTGTCGAATGCTATGGAACTATCGTGATGTATAAGAGTCAATCTGTTCCATAAAGAAGATCATAGAGATATCTGTACCTTAAGATAGTTGAGATAAATGAGTTTGAATAAGAGCGTAGACTAACATTTCGCCCCGAGGAAGGTCGCACAAATACGGCCGAAATATTGGCACCCGTGCCTAGAAAACGGGGTCTCACGAACAGCCAAGTAAGAAATGAGTTTGATTTGTTTAGCTTGTATTGAAATGTATGATTCTTACATTCACACGCATATCATTTGTTTGTGGAATACTGTACTATACGATATGCTGCTGTTGCTGGTGTAAAGTAGACCTATCAGCAATTCTAGAGACTGTATTTACTCAAAATTCGTTTTTAAATTTTTGCCACTGTTATAGCCCACGAGCGAACTGTTCATTGACGATAAATACATAATAAATAATATCTTGGTAGTTTCAGCCCATAACATATGATAATTCGTAATAGAGATGAATGTATCAGAGATGAATCACAACCATAACATACAAGGTATTCAATATTACATATATAATCTTAGAAGCATCATATTATCGGGGAAACTTTGCCCATTATCAGTGGTGGAACTACACTCGCATACTTGTAATAAATTATTTGTATATATTTTTAATTTTAATCCTTTTGACCTGTTTTAATTCAAGACACCTTTATATTAGTTTTTAAGTATTTTATTTCAATGTTTTGATTTTTTAGGGAGGTTCATACAATTTGAAAGTAAAAATAATTACAAAAAATATCTTGAGGTTTTACAGAAAGAAACTTTGAGATTTTAAAGTAAAATGAAATACAACAGATAATATTGTTGTTATTATCTCAACTCATTCATCTCTAATATGAAACAGGTACCTCTAGATCTGGGCTGACACTAAGAAGATAATTTGTTATGTATTTATCCTCAATAAACACCAGTGTGTGGTGTACTATGAAAGAGAAGTACGTGTGTGAAAGCTTTTCTCAAGCTTTCGTAGCTCTCGTACTGTGTGAAATTGAATTATGATTACAGATTAGGGATGCGAAATTGATGTCGATGTTGTTAAGACATCGATGTTTCTTGTAGAAACATCGATGGAATTAACGGCGATGTTTTTTAATATCGATGTTTTGTGTTCGATGTTTTTTTTCGATGTTTTGTTTCCAAATGCAAAATTCCTATGATCAGAATACTGTAAAATTAAAATATGAAATAATAATTAATGGTAACGCTGTAGTTCATGTATTGGAACCAAAGGAACGCTGTTTGCACAACCTTCATCGACCAAACTCTCTCGCTCATGATGGCCTCCATGCCCTTGTATTTCCTATTCTTCATATTGATTTCGCACATTAAAATATGTTCAACAAACATGCCGTGGATGTAGGGTCTGCCCCTTCTCGTATCTTTATTCCGCGAATTGATAAACACGAACACTGAAATTAAATTTTAACGCACACGAATTTAATATTGGTGGTTACTACTCCAATCTAAAAACGTCCATGTTGAAAAAGCATCGATGGTTTTTAGTGGGCGTATTTTTTAACATCGATGTTTTAATTTTGTTTTGTTACCGATGTCGCATCTCTGGTACAGATAGCAACGAACGCTTTCGTCAAGATTTGATAATAGGACAATATTTGCCCTCTAATACTTGGTGTCTACCATGTTGTCGGCTGCATGTGGTGGATTTCGTGGGGAGACTGGTTGCAAGGACAGTCATTTCTCGAAGAGGGAAAACGAGTTTTAACTTCGCAACTCTCAGCTAAATTAAACACAAATCCATCAGCTTTTTTTTTTCAATGTCTATCTTTAGCAACAACATATTTTCAGCGTGCGAGCAAATATTTTTATTCGGTGAATCAGGATTTGGGGATCTACAACGTCAGAGGGAGAATGTTCCGCTTAGAAAGAAAAAAACACTGTATTTACAAACTTAGTCGTGAAGGAAAGTGGTGTGCGTACAAAATAAATATGCTTTCATGCGCTCCGTATCAGTTCTATAAATAGACGTCATCAGAAAATTTCTTTAGTGAGGAACTAATATGAACGAAAGGCAAACATTAAAATCATATAATCCCCGAGAGTTGAAAAAAAACTAAAAATGGAGAATCCCCCGAAGATCGTGAATATCCGAAACACGCTGCTTACGGGCAGATCACAGTTTACAGTGAAGAATAAAAAAAATAAATAAAATAGAGTAAATCTGGAGTAATTCCTAACATTGTTAGTGGAACAGGCTTCTAAATGACCGCTTACTCCATCTCTAATTGGTCGGTGGGGGGGGCGTCACAATCTTTTTGTAACTTTTGGTTTCCCTTCCCCCTCCCACCAGTTTTGAAAAAAAAAGTTTCATGTACGAGAATATCTATTCGGTTGTATCGCCAACAGAAATGTTATTTGAAACAAACATAAACAATCTGCGTTTTACGAAATTTCTTTTATTATTATCAGAAGGATACATAGTGTAAATACATTAGGTATTAACCCATAAGTACAATTAAAAATTTTACTGAGGCCAAGTAATGACGTTGTTCATTAGTCGTCGTCAAATGTTTAAAAAATCATAACCAATAAATAATTGCTAGATTGTCGTGGACCATGTTCCAACATAAATAACAAAGTAAGCTACTTGAATATGCATTAATTAGAAATGCAATTTTTTTATCATCGAATGCTTCCGCTTCCACTTCAGATTAGTCGACGTCTGGTTGCTTGAGATATTCAGTCGTTTAAAAACTGTACTCTAGTCTAGTGATTGATCCAGCCCCACCCTCCAGTTTTTCCTGCGATAAAAAATCTTAAGGGGCGGAACAACATATGGCACGAGGAAAAGTGTGCAAGATTGAATTCAAAGAAAAAAAGACGGAAAGTTTCTGCGCAAATATTGCACAATTTTTTTTAATTCGCTTAATCTAGGTCTTAAATTCGAGTGAGTCATGAGCGTGTGAATCATTCCTGTAATGTTTCTTTAACCGTGTTAGGGAATTGCTCCAGACCGCGAGAAAGTCTTTTCCCAAACATTGGGGATATTTAAATTGAACAAGTCACCGGATGGGTTAGCTTGCGAAAATAACAATACATTAATTGTTCAGTTTAGTTCAGAACCTGCGTTGTTTCTATCTCTGCAACGACTGTAATCGGTAGAGGCTAAAAGTGCTGTAGAAGAATTCTAGTGGCCGGCTGCTCTGATCGATGGTTTCACCTGTCTGTACCACGCGAATGCCGGAGTAATGTCGTAACAAATGGGCCACGGTCGTGTGATATTTTTTTTAGACGGTAATTTCGTTTTCTAATGGCTATAGACCAATAATTAACGGGACATTAAATACAGTAAAAATCACAAAATAATTTATACCTTCTAACCCAAATTTCTTTCAATGTGACACCAACACAGTAAGTCATAAATGCATTATGTGTGTATACAATGTTTTGCAAACTGATTTCCGCTCTTTGACGAGCTACAAAATGACTGAAGCCGATCCCGAAAACTGCGATTTTATTCCTTCCGGGGTTGTTGATTGTTTTCGAGCACGTCAACTGCTATGGCCTTTAGTCCCGTTAGTGTAGTGAATGTCTTGTCGCGGAAGGTAGCTCTGTTCCTCCCCCGCTGGATGGTCAGATTTGGCGCCGACACGTAGTAGTGATGCAACATCAATAACAAAACATCGATGTTCAATATTAAAACATCGATGTTCAATATTAAAACATCGATGTTCAATATTAAAACATCGATGTTCAATATTAAAATATCGATGTTCAATATTAAAACATCGAAAGTTTTCAACATCGGTGTTTTTGGACTCGATTAGTACCCTCTAACATTCAATTCGTGTGCGACACAATTTCATTTGACAGTAGTCATGTTTACCAATTCGCTGAATATTTAATGTTGAACGTATAATAATAAGGTGCCCCCCCCCCCTACACTCGCAGAGTACTTTGACCATTTCTCAAGGTTCAAAATTAATATGAAAAGGAAATACAATCGCATAGTAGTCATCTCGCGCTAGAGAGGTTAGCCATTGTAGGTAGTGCTACGAGCATTATTGGTTCAACATGTGAATAACAGTGTTACTATCTGTTATCTCATATTTTAACTTTTGCTGTATTGTGATCATGGGAATTTTTCACTCAGGATCAAAGTGACGGAACAGGAAAAACATAGTTTTTTTTGTGATCGATGTCAATAAATATATTGGTATTAATACTTCGATGTTTAAAACATCGACATTGATGTCGCATCCCTAACTCTTAGGCATGAAGAGGATTCTCTCTCCTGAGATTTCCCCCTATTGTGGGTCATCACCTCGACCGTGGCAAGCTCTAAGCTTCCGACTGGTATCCCGGCATGTGTGGTAGTGTAGATCATGTAAATGTAAGTAAAGGGAGAGGATGCGGCTGAGAAATGAAAGATCGCGCGTGGTTCTTGGCCCGTGTCATAGGGAACTTTGGCGGGATTCCCCTGTCAGAGTGGCCGACCGCTAGAATTCTAAACACAGCGACTAAATTCGACTTAGCTATTTAGCTAGTGTCGAAAATCCGCCACCGTCAGAATTCGAACCCTAGTACCTGCCATTCAAATTCGCTGCAAACACAGCGACAATACTGGTTGGTTCTGAGCTAAACTTGGCCGGTAGAGGATTGTTATTTTCGCGAAGTTCGAATTTATTCGATTTATTCTTTTAATTTTAATTTTCGATCTCTTACATTTTGTTCGTGGATTTGCATTGTTGTTCATGTATGCACGGCAGCGAATCGATTCCCTCACACGGGGCAGGATAAGGGCCAAGATACATCTGTTTACTCCTAATATTGATCGTGCAATGTCATTTGAAAAATATGTAATAATAAAATAACATAAAGCCACGTGACTCGAACTCACCTGGCTCCCTCTGGCGGTGAACAAGTTGAAGACTCATGCGTCAGCTGTGCGGAAACAAGTGAAGACGACACCGCCCACGACGATCACTTCGAACCAAGAACGAGAGCGCGAGACGATCGACGCAAAAGGAATCGACAAACGACGACAGCAGACGGGAGCTACGGCGACGAAATCGCTGCCGATTCCGTGCCCCGAGAGCGACTGAATCCGGCTCGGGAGTTAAAGAGGAAATTGGCGATGTAGCCCGATGTAGTGACGTAAGAGACAACGGCGATGAATCGGTGCGAGCGCGAAGGTCGACGGGTCCAAGAAGACAACAGAGTTACTTAGAACGCGAAGAGAGACACTCCTGAAAGCACAGTCGCGGCCCAGACGATGCTAACTAATCGCCGATCGAAACACGTCGTTCTTCCCGGGAAATAGTGAGAGCGCAGGAAATGCTCCAACTAGCAGTGGCAGAGATACGTCGGTTTCTGATAAATACACAGGTGTAGGAGTCGAAGAAACCTTAAATTCAAATGATATTTATTTCTCCGGGTTGTGAATGAAGGTTGATGTACTGTTCGAAAAAAAATGTGTCAAGAAAATATTAAATCTGGGATTAAGTTTTGTCAATGCAAATGTTTGTGAATAAATTGGTGATAAAGTGGATGATACATACAGCTTAATATGTATTCGCTGAATAGGAAGATGTCTATTCTCGAAACGTAAGTTTGAATTGATGACAGTCGAGTTGCAGAATTATTGAAATCAGATGATGTCAGTTATAAATTAGATGCAGGTCTCGCTGATTGACAATTAACGTGATGTCATTTTAAAGAGTGCTCAATGTAACGGTGAAGACTATTTACAAAGTAGTCACAGGGTTAGAGTCCTACAGATAGGTAAACGCAGAGTATGTTTTGGTACTCGATAGTTTTTAGAAAACACTTAGAAGTTATCTGATGTTACACACAAAGTTGTGTGGTAGAATGTGAATCGATTTGTGCTTAGACAAATGTTTGAAAATAGATACAGACACTTGCAGACAGCTTCCCAAAACCAAGTTGACTGATGAGTAGTTACAGACAGATGATGCACCGGGCACTTTAAGGCACAAGACACACACACAAAGACAGAAGAGTTCTTACAGATAAACGAACGTCTTGTGATCCTGACAGTTGTTGACAGCAACCCACACTCAAGATGACTCTCAGGTAGGTAAACGTATGAGAATCTCGCTCTTCTGGGAGACTTCAACTCTCTCTCCGAGCGAAAATCCCCAGCGAATCGGCGAACTCGTTTCGCGGGCTACGGCGACGTTCAGCCGTCACGTGGCAGTCGGCGGCAGCTGTCTGGCGGCAGCGGCGGCGTGGTCGACGGCGGCGGCGGCCCAGTCGCAACTGAATGGAACAAGCGACAGTCGCGATGTGTTGGAAGGAGGCCTTGGGCCGGAGGAGGGGAAGCGGAGTGACTTATCGGGCAGGCGTTCTGCGCGCTCCGTGCTCGCCCGCGCCCGCGCATGGTGGGAGAGGAGTGGTGGGGAAAGGGGTGGGGGGTGGGGGCCGTTTGCGTCATGTAGCCGCTGCGCCGTGTGGAGGAAGTGGAGCCGGCGGCGAGTTTTGTGGAGTGACGTAGTGGTTTTGCGGTTTCTCGCGCCGCGCCCGCTGAGGCTGTGCCGGCACGGACGGATTAGAGAATCACGTAGCCCAGTAATTGAATAGAGTAATCAGTAGTTGTTTATATAAAAATTTATTTATTTATTTATTTATTTATTTTATTTTATTTATTTATATTTTTATTTTATTTATTTTATTTATTTTATTTATTTTATTTATTTTATTTATTTTATTTATTTATTTATTTATTTATTTATTTATTTATTTATTTATTTATTTATTTATTTATTTATTTATTTATTTATTTGTAATTGTATTTGTACTTTCATGATTCGACATTTTGCCACCGGGCAACATCTACACAATTGCAGAATAAAGTTTCTATCTATTTAATAGCTATTATTATGAAAATTAACTAAAATAATAGGAATTATTTTAAAATTAGTCAAACTGTACTTTGGTTTCTAATTTAAAGATAGAATATTAACATATCACTGCTTTATATTAATACGTAAATTACATGTGATACAAAAGAGTGAATTTATGTTCATATTCTGTTTTTTGAATTAAAGGCCGAAGTACAGTTTGACCTATTTTAATATAATTTGTATTATTTTAGTTAATTTTCATAATGAAACATGACAGAAACATAACAATCTCAAAATTATTTTAAAATGTTTATATTGTGTTCGCAAGGACGGTTTAATTACTTGAGGGATAACCCGAGAATCAGGTAACTATGGACCTTCCCCCCCAGTTGAATACAAATAATCAATATTATTATGAAAATTTACTACAATATTTGCAATTTTAAAATGCAGTTTTAAGTTTCTTAAAATTAATTCTATTTTGAAGACCAGCTCATGGGGTTTAGGGACGCCTTAATATTATTTAAGGTCACAAGCATTCCCCGAATTTAATTATTTTTATTTGTGTCACATTCCCACGAAGGTCATTTGAGACTGCCAAACTTATTGTTGATTCCGTATTCTCAAGATATCTAGTACTTTTCACCTTGCTGGTAATGTTTGCTTAATGTAAAATTTGGATGTCCGAAAAAAATCGCTTCACTGTATTGAATTATCTTTTTCCTTGATGAGATAGTACTTGTAGAATAGCGTTGAAATCTTGCTCATGTGTTGTTGCAGAATTGAGTGCGACGTGGAAAAGCAGATAAACGAGAATCAGACTGCGGCTGAGATGCTTTCAAGTGTCATTAGAAAAAATATACTTTGTTTGGAGTCCCACTGTAATTTTCTATTTGATACTTGCAAATAAACCTCTGTATTTAGTCGAGGGAACATTTTTTTTAATGTGTTCAATTATCCTACGTCTATTTAAATCACTCTGGCTTATTGTACAATATTCACTATATTTTTGTACATAAAGTATTCCATATCATTAATTATTTTAATTGCATAGATGCATTATAGAATTGTACTATTTAAATAGTCTGCTGTCCAGTGTATATTCTCGAAAGACCGATCTCTGGCTGGAAGATGAAGATTGATTATTTCGTGTCTCCGGACGCGTCTTCTGTAGAGTCCTGTAAGAGTAGTCCATACTTTATCAAGGAGGTAGCTGTGTTCTGTCTTCGCTGGATGGCGAGATCTGGCGCCGACATACACGCCATCTTATTAGGTTTTCCCATCCAGGTACCTCCCTCCTACGGAGCGCCGCCTCTGCCGGGACAAGCTCCAAGCTCCCGAAGTGTGATATTGTAGTGCATGTGAGTGTGTGTGTGTGTGTAAGGGGTGAGGATAGGACAAGGAAGAGGAAGGTAAGATCGCGCGCGGTCCGTGGCCCGTTTGTTAGGGTACTGCTCCGGCATTCGCCTGGTATTGATCGGAGAAACGACGGAAAACCACCGATCAGAGCAGCCGGCCGCTAGAATTCCCCTCCAGACAGCGGATAAAAACCCTACCATCGCCATCAACCTAGAGTCGAAATTCGTACCACCACCGTCTGGGAGTCTGCTCCTAGGACTTCCCCATGAGAGGTACAGCAGTGACATCATTAGAGGCCCTGAGCCGGCGGAGGAAGAATCGTAGTGGCCGTGAGAGGGGGGGAGGAAAGGTCTGTATTCATTGCTTGGAGGAAGAGCCTGAAGTGAGCGCTCTTTGTGCAGTGACGTAGACGTTCCGTGCTGCGCCCCATGGAGTGGGTAGTCATTCTTCTTCTCTTGCGATGGTGTGGCTAACAAGGAATAGAACAACAGTTCTCGAAACCACCGCGCAGCGCCGTCTGATTGGTCTACCACGAATAAAATAAGAAAGCAGTTGGCAGTTCGCTGTCACGTGATCAGCGCTGCGACCTAAGCACCAACCAGCTTGGCTTTCGGATGTCCATAGTGTGGTCACTTCAAATTCTGGATCAAATGTATCGCATGCACCACCAGTTATAGTTAATAAGTTGGGCGTGGTTATAAGTATTCGGAGCGAGATTAATTATGTTAAAGTGCGTAACGTGATAGAGAATCGTAAATAACGTGTTCAGTTATTATATTTGTATTGTAATTTAATAATAATATAACAATAATAACAATGGTAAGAATAATAACAATGACGATGATATCAATAATAACAGTAATAATAACAATAGTAACAATAATGACAATAACAATAATAACAATAGTAACAATAATAGTCGTTAATTTCACCGAACGATAAGTCCACTCATATTCCTATTATGAAAATTAAATAGAGCGCCTTTAATGGGCGCCTTAAATTTCTACAGTTTGTGATAACGAACGCGACCTGGCATCGCATGGCGATCATCGATATAGAATGCAGGGAAGTTGGCTGATGAAATTGAACTCAGGACATCGACCAGAATAAACCCAACTGAATGATCAATTAAAACGCCAGTTAATGCACCGTCGATTGCCATAAGCCCTCGCTATTGTACTGCGGTACTCCAATTAAAGAGCCGTCTTAATTGGAAGTCTTCTCTGTGCTGGATAGCCGCTCAGGTAGCACGGAACTTGACGGCAGCACCTGCCGGCTCGAGCGTGTCGGCGACCAGGAGGTGCTCCCGGAAAGGTGCCGGAAATTTAAGCTTTGAAGTGCTTAACGTCGATGAGTTGTGACGCAAGTCGCGATCTGATTTCTGGATCACTTCCAAGCAGATGAGTCACCGCTTGACTTAGTCATCACTGCCGCTGTCGCTACAGCGACTCTAGCCCAGGGTTCGAGCCTCGGTAGTGGCAGGATTTGCAAAACCAATTTTGCTGCACAATCGTTGCGAGGCTACTCATGAACTGGCAGGGAAATCTATGCTACAAGTTTGTCACTTAACAATTGCACAACGCTCTTTAAGTCAATAGGTTCAGTGCCTTTACACAAAATGCGTAAACATAAATAAACATAAGTCATTACGTCAGCTAAACTCTTATCTTAAAGCAACAGAAAAACAAGATTTGGAAATTTCTACTTGTCTCTTCGATACGATTAATTGAAATCACTTGCCTTTTTACCATACATCATATTGCCTCAGACGTGGGTGATAAAAAGAATCAACGAGAGTTAATTTGTGGTTACTCTACAAAAACACTAATTTAGCTTCTTAGCAATTAATCATCTAAACATCAAATTATGAGACGCGGCCGATAAAAATCGCATCGTCAAAGTCGTTTCGTTTCGTTCGTAGTCGTTTTTGTGGCTTCCATACAGCAGAAAACTGATGATGATGGCTAAGCCATCGAAAGCGGCTTTTTTTAATAAATAATATTGTTGGCAATGACGACGCATATTATTATTTCATTAGAAATGCCAACGATAACTCACCACAATACCTATAAACGTGTAGGATCCAAAAGGCTCTTGAGTAATTGTTTATGTGTAACACGTGTTACGGAGTAATAACCATGATGCCAGACATGTCATACACGAGGTTCGTGAGGCGAAAGGGTAATGTGTGTGTGTATGTGTGTGTGTGTGTGTGTGTGTGTGTGGAAGTGGGGTCCGGTGCGTGGTGTGCGTGCATGATGCATGGGGTGGGGGTGGGGATATTTAAATCTGGGCGGAAGTTCGCTGCGTTACAAAATACCCTGAGAAAGGATTTATAGAAGCCGAAACGTGGGCAATTTAAACTACTGTCGCTAAAACAGCGCATACTTTCTCGCCCGTACTTTCATGCAAAATTACGCAAAAAGTGGTCACATTTTTGAAAAAAAAATTGTACATGATCTAATTTAAAAATCTATTTTTAAGGAACAGCTTTTATTAAGTGAAAAATCTATATCCTCGTAATGTAGTTGTAGGAAGAGGCCGAAAAAAATTATTTTTTGCGATTTTCGAAAAATTAGTTTTCAAAAAAAATGAGACCTGCATTATTCTTAAACGTCCTTTAGACTACCCAACAACAAAATATAATCAAAAACGTTCGGGCCATTTTTTGGAAAATTTTGGAAATATCCTAGTGGCTTCATGTAAAGAAACCTAAAAATTAAAATATCGGTTTCTAATTCAAGGGGCTGTGACATCAGCCACATCAATTGGAGAATATCAGTTTTGGAGAAAATCGGCTCAACAGTTTAGCCGCTAGTGTTGTTTACAGAAGAGCAGACACGTTTTGCCGTCTTTCGATTTTACGGTCAAGAACACAGAAAATATGTATTCTGGCTACACCACGTGTTAAAGAATTTTTTTCTAAATTCAACAATTGGATGTGTTCACTTTTTTGTTACCAGAACCCAGTAATAAGAATTTTTCCGCTGAAAATTCTCCGTTTTTTCGCGCAGAATTACATATCTTTCTCTCTACTGCGTAAGCGATAGCGAGA